CAAATAACAAATATAAGCAGCTTTCTTTTCAAGTTTGGCATCATAAAAGTATCAATAAACAATCTCCCTTGCTAGCATTATTTGTCAATTAAAAAAAAAAAAAAATACATCAAAAAACAAAGAACAAAAACAACAAATAATTTGCTAATTTCAAAACCAATCGTGCTGCTCAGACATTAATTAAAATTTTATGGGATCTCATCCCAAATGCTGTACGCAAGTCAAAAATAATTAAACGTAAAGGAAATTTTCAAATATGTACAATTGAATAAAATGAGATACTATGAAAATACTACAAAAAATTATCATGAATGAATCAAGTCCTTAGGAGACATCTTTCTAGACTATACTCATTTTTTTTGAAAATTACACACCCTTCTTAACAGCTGTTAATCGTTTTCTTCCAATATATTTTAAAGCAGTGTTTACTTTCGACTGTGAGTCTCTATGATAAAATGACGTTAATAAATGGTAATTGCAATACTAATCCAACATAAGATAACAGTCGCTTTCAGTATGACTAATACAAATCTCATTGGATTAGATTATGCAAATACAACCATGGTCAGAAATAATGCTATTGGTAGTAAAATAATCATTGATAGTCCTATACGTTCTTCAGATTATACAATAACAATAACAAACCAAGTGTTTAAACTATCGTAACAAATTAGAAGGACAGTCTACTACCACGGTGTAATACAAAGGTACTCGTTTTGTCAATATCACGGAACTATAAACAACTGTAGTACAAGTGGGAGGTTCTTTCCACATTCCTCAAAGAGAGGCAAAATATACTAAAAGGATATTCAAACTCATAAGTCGAAAGTAAACTGTCAACACCATTGCTACAAAGAAAAGGAAAAACAGACTAACAACAGGACACAAAACACATAGAAAACTAAAGACTGAGTAACACGAACTCCAACAAAAACTGGAGGTGATCTCAGGTGCTTCAGAAGAGTAAACAGGTCCTGCTCCACATGTGACACCCGTCGCGATGCTCATGTGAGTACAAACCCGGTGATAAGTCTTATTTGGTAGGTCATATTCGGGGAAAAGGGAAATGAATTGTAGTTACGTAGTCATCTATGAAACAGATATTCCATAATGGTCAACCAGCTAGTGATGCCGTCCGTAAAATTTACGAAGGAATGATTTAAATATCACCGCTTGGAACTCTTGGTTAAATAGCTTCCTTTTGAGCGACCCTCTATCAAGGAAATCGTGAAATGAAATTAAGCCTTGGAATATCGTATCAACTTGGATATATATACCTCGTATGCAGGCCCTGCTGGAATGTTGCTGTATGTTGCTTCATGTTGCGTAAACCAATAAATAGTTATCAAATAAAGTCTCAATGATAATTAGAACGTCACAGATAAATTTGAATTTGAAATTACTGACTTTTGGAATTTGCAAAATGATCTTTATACAACTGTTTGATTTTTGTGGAGCTCTAATCAGTTACGATGTTATAACATAAACCTGATATGATTAAAGGAAACATAAAACGTATTGATAAAAAAGATCCATCGCTGTATAAGCAAAGCTAAACACGGCTATTAATAGACCCAGTGATGAGATCAATGGCTAAAAAAACGTTATGTTAATTATTTGGATTGGATAATTAAAATCTAGATCATTGAACTTTTACTCAATAACGTCTATGTCAATGCCATCTATTGAACATTTAATCAAATATCAAACAAATAATATTTTTGAAAAAACGAAAGAATATTAAAAAGCTAGGACAATGGAAGACGACCTCAGAAAGTCAAATAGATCGTGAAATTAACATCAAATAACATGAATGGCATACTAAAACAGATTAGGACTCTTGGAAATTTAAAATATAGCAACGGAATCTATTATACAAACAAACAGACATATTGTTCGAAAAATGTTAAAATAATTTACATTGAATTATGTAAAAAAAAAAACACTGATAAAACTGATAATTTTTGGAAAGAAGTCATCTTCTGGACAAATGAATCTTAGAACCCGATGAGTGTGTGGCAGTGTTACAGTAATTACGTCAAAGTATTTCTTTTCATATGTGTGATTCTCTATAAAGTAATTGTTACTTCTTACAATGACATATACTTACCATATTTGTCTTATGAAAAAAACAGCAATGTTTAAAGTAATGATCAAATTTTAGCAATGTAGAAAAATTAGTTATCTTCCTAGAAATGAAGGACTTTTATTAAGTCTTCTGATATTTGTGAAGAATCTGTTAGTGGTGTTGTCATTGTCATCATACTATGTATATGATATATAGGTATGTGTAAGCAAAATTGAATAAAAGATAGAATAATAAGGTCACTTGTTAGCCCGATGTATTTAAAAATAAAAAAAAGTATTCATCTATAATAAAAACATCATTTAAATGTTCACAAGTCTGTTTTACATCGGTATTCATAAGTAAGTTATTCATAACTTGTACAGATTTTGGACGATCTAGAACTTTACATATTTTATAGACAACTGTATATAGCTTAACTCTTTAAGTTGCACCCTACACGACTTTGACAGATCTTTACTATATTGTAAAATAGTGTTATGATTTTCTAGTCCATTAGATTATTTAATAAATGCTGAATTTTTAATTGCGTTAAAACGTTTTTTTCTTGATAACATTGAAGTTTTCCATTCTGATTAGACTGGTCCTAGTCAATATCCTTGCCAGTGTTTATATTTAGGTATCTTAATATTGTGAAATTGAAAATTCGATGGGCGTGTTATAGAATGTTTTTGAAAGATGAACACGGATATGTTCTAATGTACTCATCCGCCTGGATTGGCTGATATCACTTTGTCGGGTTATTTTTTGGTAAGTGTTGCTTAGTCTTTTGTTTTCTATGTTATGATTTGTGAAAGAGGAAAGAAAGATACGAGAGGGACAGTCAAACTCATAGATTGATAACAAACTGACAACGCCATGGCCAAAAATAAAAAGACAAACAGACAAATAATAGTACAGATGACACAACATAGAAAACTAAAGACTAAACAACATGAACCCCACCAAAAACTGGGGGTGATCTCAGGTGCTCCGGAAGGGTAAGCAAATCCTGCTCCACAAGTGGCACCCGTCGTGTTGCTCATGTTAGTACAAACCCGGTAAATAGTCTTATTCGGTAGGTCACATTCGTGAAAAGGGAAGGGTATTGTAGTTACGACATAAGGAGCATATCCGATATCATCTGTGACACGGTTATTCCATAACGGTCAACCAGCTCGTGATTTGAACTTATTTGTCTTTTTGTCGTTGTTTGTATTTCGCCATTACTTTATCAGTTTCTCTTCGACTTATGAGTTATGAATACTCCATAGTAATTTTCGCCACTTTTTTTGTTTGAAAATTAACAAACATTGACAACATTTAAAGAGCAATTTTAAAAAAACTATGGTGGGGTTCGTGTTACTCAGTCTCTAGTTTTCTATGTTGTGCCTTGTATACTGTTGTTTCATTATTTGGTCCTTTTCTCTTTTTTTGGCCTGGCGTTGTCGGTTTATGTTTTTAAATGTGAATGCCTCTTTTATATCTATGGCATCTCCTTTAAATCCATGAAGGTTAGTTTCAGTTGACCGCACTCATCAAAGATACTAGAGTTTGCCATTTTAAGTACTCTTAGAAAAACAAGAACTTATAATGCTAGTTTATAAGGCTCTACAGAATATACGACCATAAGTGTTATTAGCTGGATAACAAACAAGGTGATCACCAGTTATCGGTTCAAAAGACAAAAGAAAAAAGCACATACACAAGTAATATAACGCTAAATTATACGTGAAAACAAACGCTCAAAATAACGGAAAAAAACATGTTGTGTGATTGTGAAAAAAATCCCTGAATAATATGGTGTCAAAGAATGCTCACAATTCCAAAAATATATATTATCATCTGAGTATTTAAATCCGTCTTATAGTTGGTAAACATCGAATGAAATAGTGTAAGTAACATAATTATGAACGAAAGCGGGTTATATATAATAAGACATGTTCTGAAGATTTTTAATATTTAAGGTTGCACGTGAAATTAAGCATGTTGTTTTAAAAGAAATACTCGATGTTAATTTTGAAGCGATTCAAATATGTGTATGTGTTAATGCAGTCATATATTAATGCTGCTTCATCAACAAATTTTACTTTTAGGAAAACAGCTTTTTTAACGTGGTACCAAACACCTTGCCTAAAATGAATTCGGCTCGTTTAATTTTCATAACATTCTGACAAAATATTAACTTTAACCCTTCAATAAAAATATAAAAAAATAAAAAAACTTGAACCATACACTTTATCGGAAAAATTTCATTGGATGTATAGCAGTTTGACAAACACTAATTTTGATCATTGAGAAGCTTAATATTTCCTTAACAATAGAATGTGATTAAAACTTTCAGCTGATGTTTAGAGAATTATATCCCTGTAGTGTTTTAGGATTTTATAACTTGGGCTTTCATATTTTATTGTTAATACTTATATATATATGTGAATGGGTATATGTTGTAAGGCGCTTAGGGTAATTCTAATATTACATAATGCGCCTTTATAAATACTGTATAATAATAATAATTATGTACCACCTTAATGCGCATAAATCATAGAATACAAATTTAAAGAACTTACTAAGAGGATTGCGAGACAACACAATGAGTTTATCGTACCAAGGTTTAGCCGTCTTATATTTTATTCGTTTATTTGTCCTTAGAAAGACGTTTTTATCAAATAAATAGATTTTTGTAAAATTAAGAATCCATTCATTCAGTACCATCCAATGATAATCTTCTAAGCTTTGATATTAACGAGTCTTTAAATTTTTTTTATAAGTGAACTTGCATTGGGTGCATAAGTTTTCTAAGATTTGCAATGAAGTTTGCACTTCAAATTTCCTTTTTACCAGTGTATTTAATTATCTTTTCAACTGGAAGTACAAAACGATTTATATTGACATATGATCAGAAATATTTAGAGGCATTCCTACAAAATAATTCAGCACCATCAACTATCGTCTGTGCTTTACAATGCCTCGAAACAAATTTGTGTACTTTTTATAGTTACAACATTGTTAGTGAGATTTGCTTGGTCCATTCAACTGATATTAACACAGCGCAGATATCGATGCAAACAGATTCAAAATGGGGAATATATGAACCAGAAAAAGGTATATGACTTATGTGTGTGTGTGCTCAAATAATTATCGTTTTTTTTTAAATAATTCAGTTACATAATATTCATATATGATGACCATTTTGAAAGATATCTCTTTTGAATTTTTAAACATATTTTCTTTGGTATTGTACTCTATATCAAATTTATATAGTACAATTCTTTAATCAAAAGTAATTTTAGAAGCCGATTGATTGATTTGTGTTTGAAGCCAATTTCAGCATTATTGTGCTATTTCGTGGCGGTCAGTTTCTATTGATAGAGGAAGCCGGAGTGCCTAGAGAGAACCACCTACCTTTGGTAGGACAACTGACAATCTTTGTCAATCAAGATTGGTGTCACCTGCCACGTACGGGATTTAAACTTACAACCTGTGCGTTGACAGTCTAGTGATACAGTAGCTCAAACTACTTAGACCACTCGGCCACCGAGGCCCATTAAGGAGTTCAGTAAACGATGTCTGTAGGGGTGTGGATCCAAATATACCCTCAGATACGAATATCAGTCTATATGTTCTTTATTCTTTTTAATACGCATGAAAGGATTGACTGAAATACAAAAACAAACAGAAAATCAACACTTTACCATAACAAAATACACACATTGACAGCGAAAACATATAAATATAAATGATCTCTAATCATATTTTAAATAATACTTTCTTATAGTTTCTATGTAATTATTTATCAAATAGTTAACGCAGACAACAAAATATTTGTCTTATACCAGGTCTATATGTATCCATATTAAACATTTCTATGTTTTCTATTTTCACATTTGACGGTATCTCAAATGACATAAATAAATGGTCAAAATACTCATATCATAGTTTACTAAGAAACTTCTATTTAAATATACATATTATTTGACTCATATATAATAAACATATCGTATTGGTTGACCATGGTATTCTAATATAGCGTCAAAAATGTATGACTTCAAAACTAGTTTTATTAATTTTGTATTTTAACATTGTGTCATAGATCAAATTTATTCGTTCAGTGTATGTTCACTTGTTTTTGTTAATATGTCTTTTGATTGAGTAAAGCCATTTCAATTGATATTTTATATTGTGTCTTTCTATTTTGTGATGATACACTATTGTTTCAGGTAGAGTGAAGGTTGACGCCTATTAAAACGGTTAAACCCGCTGCATTTGTTTGCACCTGTCCTAAGTCAGCAGCCTGATGTTCAGTGGTTGTCGTTTGTTGATGTGGTTCATACGTGTTTCTCGTTTCTTATTTTTTATATAGATTAGACCGTTGGTTTTCCTGTTTGAATGGTTTTGCACTAGTCATTTTTGGGGCCCTTTATAGCTTGCTGTTCGGTGTGAGCCAAGGCTCCGTGTTAAAGGCTGTACTTTGATCTATAATGGTTTACTTTTACAAATTGTGACTTGGATGGAGAGTTGTCTCATTGGCATTCATACCACATCTTCTTATATCTATTCAACCACATGCGATGCAAACAAAAATAAGGGTTCCTTTCTAGTGGGGACAGTAATATCTAAAAAATGCTAACATACATGAAAGTGTTGATTTCAAATAAAATAAGATAACCAACTTTGGTCCTAACAATGTCAGAGTGCAGAACTCATGATTCTATTAAACATTCAATAAGATAAAGTACTTCTGTCTTAATTTCACAACTTCAGGTATTCTAGTGGACAATTTATACTGGATTGTTTATGTGTTTATGTGTTGTTGTGTTTGGCTTTTTGTATCAACCTTATAGGTTGCAATTTGGTCGTTGTTTGTTTTGTTTTGCCTTGTTTGCAATAAGAGCGTGATATTGATGATTACCAAACAATTCTATAACCTTTAAGTTAGTAATAACAGAAATGATTTTTTTATGACCGCATAGTACATAACACGGAAAATTAAGCTAGAAAATCTATAAAACAAACAAAACAAAATCACTTATAAATTTAAAACTATAAGAGAATGATTGCGGAAATATAACGGAACATATAGGATGGAAAACCAGATGAATATAAAGGGAAACATATATTAAATAAAATTATCATCGATGCATACATTTTCCATCCACACAGAGAAATAACAGATGTGGTATGAGTGTCAATGAGACATCTCTCCATCCAAGTCACAAGTTGTAAAAAAGAAAAACATTATAGTGTGAATCCGTATACACACAATGCAATGAGTGACCCGCTACTAGTTGTTACATTATATCATAATTTGCTTTAAATTTTAGTAAATTCCTAATAACGGCAAGGAAACATTATTTGTTTGCAGAGGGTAAGCTAGAACACCAATTCGGCCAAACGAAAAGTGCCTTTTTTATTTTTTAAAACGAGGATGATACCGCTGATTATGGAATGCTAGCACAACCAATTAACTATTAACAACATTATTTTTTAATTAACGGTTAGGACATTTTATCATTACTTTTGTTGAGAGTAATTTCAAATAGATAAAACAGCAATTTGTTCCCAGGGAGTGACCCGATGTGTCTTTTCGTGTTGGTAATTCTTTTAGCGGTTTGAAACGTTCTTTTAAAAACACATTAATAATGTAAAAGAGAATAATGAATACTATAGTCAACTATAGAACAGGTTCATGAACAATGATGATCGCCATCCGTTCCGAGGGTCAAACATTCGGCTTTACTTTTGAAGGATATAAAAAAACATACAATACTTATTAATCAGACCTGGTTACTGAAGTTAGGAATAGACTGATAGCAAAGCCGTTATTTCTGAAAATGTTTTGCTCTAAACGATTAAAGTGTTTCAGGTAAAATGATACTCTTGATTTAATGGTCAGCAAAATATGCTTAAAATTAACTGCGTCACGATGGTTAGACAACTGTATTTCTAACGTAATAACTAGCGTGTTGGTTTGTTTTACTAACTTTTTTACTGTAGACTCATACTTTTTAAGTTGTATAATATGATAGTATACTACATGTAACACATTGCTTATCTGTCATATGTGAAGCAGGATCTGCTCACCCTTCCAGACCATCCGAGATATCACAAATTTAAGATGGCGGTTTGTGTTGCTAAGTGTTTGTTTTTCTATGTTTTCTTTTGTATACTGGTGTTCATGTTGTTTGTCTCTTGGTTGTTTTTCGTTTTTTTGCCATGTCATTGTCAGTTCGGTTTCTACGTATGAGTTTAATTATACATTGGTATCTATCACCGTACGGTGAACTATAGTTGTTAATTTCTGTGTCATATGGTCTCTTGTGAAGAGTTGTCTCCTAGGCAGTCATACCACATCTTCTTATTTATATATAACACATTTTTTGTTATTTTCCGGTAAATTTGAAATATCATGTAAAGTCAAAGTTGATCTTTACCTTTATTTTATTCCAATTATTGCAAAACATATAGAGTGAGAACTGGTGATGTCCACATTATCTTTTAGGATAGATCATTTAAAAGTCTTGAATCCTTTGCATTTATCTCTATTTTAATCCATTTTTCAATTGTTCGTCCTCTTTTGAAACACACACTAAAGAAATAAGACTAGTACACGTGGGAGTCAAAGTAATGAAAAATGTTGATCAGTAACATAATTGATAATGAATATATAAATATGAATAATCTGCATAAGTCGTTAATGAATATCTGATGGTTTTTATCAAATAAGACAAAATCTTTTGCTTTCAATCTTTGGATTAATGTATATACATTATCTTCTTATCTGAACAAAGAAATGAAATTACTCCGGTATTTTCTTATCTGATGAATAAAATTGAGAATGGCAATGGGAAATGTGACAATGTGACAACAACCCAACTAAAGAGAAGAAAACAGCCCAAGGCCAACAATGGGTCTTCAACACAGCGACAAAATTCTGCACCCGGAGGCGGACTATAGCTGGCCCCAAACAAAAATGTGAATTAGTTCAGTACTTGGACAAATATACTTGGACAAGTTAATGTTAATTTTCGATTTTGAATCCATTGAACATGTTGAATAATGACAATTAACAAATGTAGTGGATTGTTATCTAACCTGACAAAACGGGAAAAAAAACAATAATAAAAGTAACGGGAAATACTTTGGATTCATTTATATTCGTTGGATACCTATTGTCGTGGATTTCGTAGGCACAGGGGAACCACAAATTTAAATGTTTAACGAATTACAAATTTCCTAAAGGAATATATGCAGACTTTGCCAAAACCACGAAATTTTACATCTACGAAAATGCAAGTTTTCCTCAAACCACGAATATTGGTAACCACGAAAATAAATGAATCCACAGTAGTAAGAAATTGCAAATATTAATTGTCATATGAAACGAGTTTCTTGAAATTTTAATGTTATCGAAATTATTGACCAAATGCATGCATATATGCTAAACTATGGGCTTTGCTCATTGTTAAAGGCCGTACGGTGACCTATAGTTGTTAATTTCTGTGTTATTTGGTCTCTTGTGAAGAGTTGAGTTGTCTTATTAACAATCATACCACATCTTCTTTTTTTTAAGTCTTGTATGGACATTTTTTTTTCTATATTTATAACGAGTCTATGACGTATTATCGACAAATACTATTACATTCAATGATTGCTGATAGCAAGATACTTAACTTTCGATTTTATTGCCGACGTTTACTGGATGGTGAAATTGATAAACAATAAACACAGAAAACACGGAAAACGTGACAAATAAGTGAATTGTTTTCCCCTCGCACTTGCGCTGTGCGGTGGCCGAAGTTATAACGAGTAGTCTCGTAGGTAAAGTAACTGCATACGAGAAAATATCCAAGGATTAGTGTCTGGGAAGACAATAATATCGGTACATTTATGAAGATTTTGTTTATATAAAGGATTTCTTTTAAAAGAAAGTTCACGTTCAATTATTTTATAGTAAGACTTAGCCATTCAAGTATATAAAACATATACAACTTTGGTTTAAATATGAAGTTTCACATGACTTTAAAAGGCACAATTTTATATTCATGACATCCAGGAAGGCATTTGGGCATGTTATTTAACAGTTTACACGAAAAAGTTAGACCAAAGTTAGACCAAGACAACCTTCACAGAGTATCGACACTCCCTAAATATCAATAACCCTAAACTTCATACAGATAACATTTTGAATAATCAATACATAGCTGTTAAAGCCTGTCTACAAATTTAAAATATTTAATGATTAATTCTTATTTGTAGCATGTCCAAATGACTGGGACTTATTTCAAAGCTACTGCTACTACTTTAGTGTGGATGAGAGCAATTGGACTGATTCTAAGGTTTGGAAAATACTTTTATAGAAATTTAACTTAAATAATGGAAATTCTGTCCGGCTTACTGGGCGTTAATCAATCTATCAAGCAATTTGAATATAGCAAAGATATTAATAAAACTTTCCCCTTGTTACACTATTTTAGAAATTATATCCATTTGTTTTAACAGTGCTATTTATACACATAAGATATTATCCTGTTAAAATTTGTTTGGCGTTTTAGTAAAATTTATTTCACTTCTTTTAATAGCAGCAATTTGATAAAATATTGTGACGAATATAAACAGTGCCGAAGTGTAGGAAAAACAATAAAGATATTTTTTCTCTGCATTTACAAGGCTGAAATGACATTTCTATAATTTATTTTAGTCATCATGCCAGAATCAAGAAAGTATGCTAGCAGAAGTAGTCTCAACAGAACAGTTAGCCTTTTTGACTACGAAAGCTGGTGAATATGGATCGAGTATGTCATTCAAACACCAGATAGTAAAACAAAGTAATATAAAAGTTATTTAGAGAGTATGACACGCTACTGACGTAGATACTGAAGTTGACATCCCAATAAGAGTATCTTCAAGATTTTTTAAACTGTATCTATCACCCTCTTATTTTTCTTGTGTTATAATTAAACTGTTATAATTCTGTTGCTTTTTGCAACAAAACCTGCAAAATGTGTTTAACAAAAACTTCATACTTCTGATATTCCAACTTTCATTTATCTTGGTAACCAAAAGGATCCACGTTTTGCATTCGATTATTTTGTTTCACTGACTTTCTGGAAATCAACAACATAGGTCTTGAATAACAGTTAAATCATATTTTGTCTCATAAGGAGTGGTACTAGGTATTTTCTAAAAAAATTGGTCCATAAGTAAATGCTTGTCTCTTAAATATAGTCTTGCTCATTGAGTACAATGGACGAATGACTATCATATGTTTGACTAGGTTTCGGTACCTTCGAATGAAAGAAGGTGGTTAAACGACGTCTAACAGCGTGACAATATTTTCACTTGTATTACAGAGATTTTATTTTGATTGGAGTAAAGAAATTTCAATGGCAGTTTGGGTTTATCAATATATTCTATAGAACCTGACGTACATTCCTTCGTACATATGTGATTTATAATGACACCCCTTAATGGCAATGATAGTCAAAAAGGTGCATGAACGTCATTACAATCTGACGAAATCCCGTAAATGTATGTAATTTTGCATCCCCAATATCGTTACTATATATTTGTACACCTGAATCATCCAAATATACTCTCCTCCGCGAAAGTTTGAAGTTAGTTTGTGTTTCAATATGGCCTGACATACTTCCACGCATTTGACGTCCTCATCCTCAATCACACTGGTATTTCACGGCTTTATGTTAACATCTGAAATCCGTTTGTTGTGGTAGACATAATTAGAAGATAAGGTACGAAGGAAGCAATCGGAAACCATTTGTTAAAAAAAGAGAAAACAACATTGCAAAAAAGATTAAAAAAAAAAGGCGAAAAAACATAAAGTATACTAGCCTTTCTACATAATTTTGTAAATATCAAAATAAACCAATGAAACTTGTTTTTTTAAACAGTCATCTACAATAAGAGAAAAATATAACAAAACATTTGACTGTATATTCATGCACGCCTTAGAAAATAGTAATATTTTTTTTTGTTTATAAAAAAACTAATGAATGCAAGGGGAACAACCAAAGTTTTTCTTTGACATTTTTTCATACTAAGAGGAATAACCCAATGTTCACTCACTATTTTTATTTTGTATAGTCTGTTTCATCAATTATCTGGCAAAGAACGAAATCATTTTCTCTGTAATGTTTTTATACGACCGAAATATTCTATAATGTAAATTTTTTTGGGTGGATTCATACACATGTATCTTTTGAAATTTCAAATTTAAAAAAAAACAAAAAATTTTGAGGGTGGTGGATTTTTTTTTTTTTTTTTTGGTGGGGGGAGGTCATACTATTTTAAAATTTTTTTCCAAAATTTCAAATTTTTTTCAATTTTTTTAGGAGGGGGGGGGGGGGGCGTGAGGGGGGGGGGATTTTTTTTTCTCTCTTTTCTCATAATATATTGGTTTTTTTTTCGTTGGCTATTCGTTATGTCATTGATGACTTTCAAAGGTTATGACGATGTACAGTTTGTCCATGGGACAAGGCTCGTTTATTATTATATTGAAATTGAATAACTCGAGTTGATATCAAGCGATATTCCATTCTCACTCGTTATGAAGCCTATAAATATATAATATATAACAGGTTAACTAAGTATTGTGCAAACATAAAGCATTGGACACTGCAGACTGAGTTGAACTGATGCATCAACCATTATTCAACACCCAATGGCTTATTAATGCAAGATGAGAACATGATCTAATGATATATGAACTTTGAGCCTACATGTACTCTACACTAACACAACAGATTTACACACTGAACCAGATAATAAACAGTCAAGACAAAGATACTACCAAGAAACCACTAATGTGGTTGAATTTTAGTTATGAAAACCATGTAAAAAAATGGAAGTTCATCACACTTGCAGCAATACAGGTGCTCAATATGTGACATGTCATATTTTAGAAGAATAATGTAGTAAGGCATGTACCTGCAGCAGGAACAATTCTGCTGGAGATTCGGGGATGCGGACCTCAGCTTGTTTAAGTTTGTGAACTGATTTATACGGAGACGATGGATGCCAAATGTAAAAGCGCTATCTAAATATCAAAGAAAATGAAACCCAAAAACAGTGAAACAATATATAATTTATTCATGTACTCCAAAGTAAAGAAATGGAGCATGCAATGACTTCAATAAATAGCGCTAACCATAATTGGAAGTTTAGGAAATTCACAGCTTTCCTTTATTGGACTGAACTTCAGTCTTTAGACTATTTCATATAATGCTTACAAACCAGTTATATAAAATGTACAAGCCTAAGTCTATCAAAGAAGGTTATAAATGATTTGCGACGATGCAAATACTAAATTTTACAATATAAAAAAATATCTTTAACAAATGAATTCAAAATACCAATATCTATTCAATTTCACAAATATGAACTGAATTATCATCATGTAAGTCATTGAATAAAGAAATATGAAATTTATAGTTTTAAACAAGGGAAATATCAATGACATAATTATCCTGTCTGCCAAACACAATTTGTTTTTTTAAGGAGAGAAGGTGCAGGCAATATTATTTCAAGCCATTTTTTTTAATTTTTAGTAAATGTTTAATGTCTATTGTTGTGTTATGCTTGGATTAATTTATTAAATACTTTTTATCATGAAGCCAGATATGCACATTCTGAAACTGATTATACTACTAAGGGAGACAACTACATATGTACTTTCATATTCAGTCAACGTGCATCACTATGCATTATATATAAATTATGCGACAAAGAGAAATGCTTTTGTTCAATACAATGACTGTACCTATAATAACAAATAAATGCTAATAACAGAACTAATGGTGGAAATAAGCAAAGATTTACGGTCCGTTCAGGATAACTGTATGTGTCTCGTGAAAATAGGTTGTGATTGCATTGCGCATTTCAACTTCCTGTAAAATATAGAGTTATCGTCCTTTAAAACCTAACGGCAGGTAGAAAGGCTAAGTATACAAACACTTTTGAGGAAACTGAAGATCGAACACTCAGTTCCAGCTTTACAAGTTTCACCCATCATACTAACAATTCCATGTAACAATTCGGTGGTTAGTCACATTCGTCAGTCGCAATCGAGCAAAATGGACAATATTGTGTCTTCGGCCAGTTGCACATATCAGATATAGATATTCTTTAAAGTTTACCAAATAGTCAAAGCGTCCGTAAAACTTTCGAAGGGATGATCTAACTTAAGCATTCGTAATCCTTGATTATTAAGCTTCCTAGCAAGTAACCTTCAAAATAATCTATACAAGCTAAGTTGAAAATAATGCTGTTTTAAATATCATTTTTATGTAGGTTACTTTTATAAAAGGAAGTAAAATAACAAAAATACTGAACTCCAAGAAAAATTCAAATCGAAAAGTCCCTTAACGAATGGCAAAATAAAAAGCTCAAACACATCAAACGAATTGAAAAAATAAAATAAATTTCATTAACATAGTTCTCCATTCAGATCTTAATAGCTTTAACAATGTTTCTCAGACATCTGTTTTTTTTTAGATAAAATAATAGTAAAACAAAATCCTATTAAACACATATTGCCTTTTGGAGGCAGTTGTATTTAATATTGAAGTTTATAGGTCAAATATTGATCTTTTGGAACTATTATCAACTAAAAAAAAAATTGAATATCTTCTTATTTCGTTGACAATAAATGCCGGTTAAGGGCTGGATATTCATGATATTTATAAGTTGAATTTTTAAAGGAATTAATCTATAATACGCGTGTAATGTTTGCATTAACGCTTTTAATTGTTAATAGGAATCTGCTTACGTATACACTATATGGACCTTTTGTTGTTAACGTTTACGTAATTTGGTCCCTGGTTCCATTATTGGAATACCACATATTCATATTTCTATATTTATTAACCGGGGTGAGATCCTGAGATTAAAAACTACTCTAACAGCATTATGATGTAAAACGACTCAAAAAGATGCGACAAAAGTATTGCCAGCATCATCACAAATTAGTTGACCGATATGAAATGTTTGTGTCTCCACTCATAAGAGAAATATTTTCGGTCTTAGATTTTAAGATAGTAAAATATATAGTTGTCTGATCTGTAAATCTACCGATTGTGATCTACTCCAAATATGTCCCTTTGACTGCAATTTGCATCTCAGATTATGCCTACATGGCAGGAGACGCTTACCCTGTCGATGCATACAGTATATATCCATTTGGCGTTCATGAAATGTCCTCAGATTTGTTAATTTATTCTTGATTTGCATCTTAACGGATTTATGATATTTGAACATCGGTTAATGTCTGTTGCGTGCAGTGGCGGATCCAGAAATTTTCATAAAGGGAGGAGGCTGCCCTAACATGGGACCCGTTACAGTCATGCTTCAGTAATTCCAGATATAATCAACCAAATATTTTCCACAAAAGGTGGGGCGCCCCCCCCCCCCTCCCTCCCCCCAATCGGCCCCCCCTAGATCCGCCTATGGCGTGTATTTAAAAGCTTTCGATATTTCTATGAAATGAATAACCTTGTTTTTTTTAAGAATTCTATCTTTAGATCTTTGGTCTTTCTCCTTGGTGTGGTCTGCAGAAGTATATATCAGGACACTTCCTGACCTTTTTCGGATACCCATGTAATAGATACAGGAAGATGTGGTATGAGTGCCAATGAGACAACTCTCCATTCAAGTTACAATTTATAAAAGTACGGCCTTCAACACGGAGCATTGGCTCACACCGAACAGCAAGCTATAAAGGGCCCAAAAAAAATTACTAGTGTAAACCCATTCAAACGGAAAAACCAACGGTCTAATCTATATAAAAAACGAGAAACGAGAAACACTTATAAACCACATCAACAAACGACAACTACTGTCTTGAATAACAGTTAAATCATGCACTTCATATTCCATTTCTGTCGCTCATTGATATTATGTTTTTTATAATTGGGCTTAAAAATTTAAAATTTACTCTTTTTCAATAAGTAAAATTATTATCAATTGACAATCGTGATTGGAATATAGAATAGGAATTGATACATTATTGTCTTTTTAATGAGAGAAGCGAAAGATTCCAAAAGGAGCATTCCAACTCATCAGTCGAAAACAAACTGACAATTAAGGTATTTTTAAGGAATAATGATCGGCAATTATGTTTAAACTGTTTGAATTGAGTAGAAATAAAGGTTTTTAAAAAAATTTCCTTATCAATAGCGAAACCAAAAAACTTCCAAGATGTTCTATCGATAATCAATTTTCAAGCGGTGTCGGACTTGAAATAATGGACATCTCTGTTGTTAATTAAGAAGACAAACAAATCAAAAACAATCAAAAGTTTACAGATACCAACTACTGGGAATGAAACATTATTATTTCTATTTTACAAAATAAATAACTATTAATTTGTTCATATTAGAGTTAAATTCGTTTTGTTTTAGAATTCTATTTTTTGGGAGGGTCCGACATTGTGACTGAAGGAGAATGGATATGGACAACCAGTCGAACGAATTTTACAGTGACAAACTGGACACCCAGCGCACCAAGTGATGATAAGGGAAAAGAAAATTGTCTTGAAATGCGCAAAGGTGCTGGATATCAATGGAATGATGTACATTGCGACAAGAATAAGACTTATATCTGTCAAAGACCGTAAGTATCTGAAATTAGAATCAAACGTATGTGGATTCGTTATTATTTATGGGATACCAATTTAGTGGATTTCGTGGGTAAAGTTAACCACCTTCGTCTTTTTGTCTCTATTTTTATATTTGAGTATTTTTTTTTAGTTGTTTTTGTCTTTTTTTTGATAACCGCGAATTTCAATGTTCGATATAGTTCAAGTTTTCTTTAGGCTTGAACCACAAAATCAAATATCCATGAACGAATTTTCCTCAATCCATAAAAGTTGGTACCCACAAAAATGATTGAATCTACAATATATCTGTTAAAATAGCGTAAGTATCTAAACATAGGAACGAGTTTTATCGGTAATGAGACCTCACGTGTCTGAGCTTGTAACAAGTTTAATCTGTAAACTACTGTAGATATCTAAACTAAGGAATAAGTTTTTTTGACCTTTTTAACTTTTTTGATTCGAGATTCTGTTGAAGATGAAACGCGCGGCTGACATATCTAATTATAAGCCTAGTATCTTTGATGATTCTTTTTAATATATATATAAATAAGCTGTTGTAACAGGGGTAATTCTGATAGTATAATGCAAATGTGAAAACTACAATGGTAATATTTAAACAAGTAAACTATGCTAACAATCAAAAGTCAATGAACCATGATTGAAAGTGCAAGAACAAATTACCTTCATGAAAATGAGAACTGTCAATGCTTGTTAAACTGTAATTAAAATATCATTGACGTATCATAAGTGATTACATAAAACTAACTAAGTACAAACTTTAGTTTGATTTTAAGTTTTCAACATTTTTAGAAAATTGAGTGGACCCGTTACTGTGGCAAGTCAACAACAGTGAAATGATCTACTGCGTATGCATCGCACTTAAGAATATGCTTATGTTCATTTAATATGCACAATATGAGTACACGGTGGTATTATGAAAGCTGGTTTGTCATACGTTATTTTCTTCCCACCTCAATTTATGTATCGTTGGCACGGCTTAAGTCAAATAAATGAAGCAGATCAACTTATATGTTGTATTTTTTTTGGTAATGTTTTATTCCAAATATCGGATAATGATGATGATGATGATGATGATGATGATGATGATGATGATGATGATGGTGATGAGGAGGAGGAGGAGGAGGAGGAGGAGGATGGATGGCTGCTTAACGTCCAGCGAAAATCAAATGCATATTCAGGACGGGAAATTGTGAATGTAAAATGAATATTCATCCTAGTTTGTACTAGACCAACACGCTGAGCCGAATTTTTACTAGTTTATAAGGTAACACTTAGCAGGAAGATATTTCCCCCTACCGGGACACATTATTCTGACTCCTACCCGAACAGTCTTTGCCTTTACCCCTTAAATCAGCGAGCTTAATGGAGGAGCAGTAAAGATCAAATTTAAAGTCTCTTGTTTGAACCTAATACCCCACGCATTCGATATCACACATTCTTGACAGAACGATAACAGACGAAATAATACATTTGAAGGAACAAGTCAATGCAATTTTATGTTTTCTTTATTTATCTCATTAAGTTTATTATCAATAGTTATTGTTACATTGCAATGATGAAAATAGAGAAGAGCAACATGAGCAAAATATTATAATTTGTTGAGATTTATTACTTAGATCACCCTGAAAATTCCTGCACTTTGTTTTATGTACGGGGATACAACGGGTACAGTACAAAATGAGACAAAATCGCATTTTGCTTCTTCATCATTTAAAAAAATCTACATTGGAAAAAGCACATTTCATATCACAAAGTTATAGATAATATAATAAATGGTATTAGACGTGTGTTAACTATATACGACATCCCTAACACTTGACAATAGTATCCGACGAATAATTTGCCTAAATCTATATATTCCTTTCAGAACTTTTGTGAAAGCAAAAACAAAACATGTTCTAGATACAGATAACAGTACTTAGTAGAAATATTTTATTCAACGACACATTAAATAGTTGTTGCATGTGACAACCCACTAAGCAAAAATGATTATTTAAAGTAACAGGTATTTACAGTCTTTAACTTTTCAAAATGGTATGATTTAGAATTATGTAAACGAGTGCCACATGTGGAACAGGATCTAAGTATCCATCTGGAGCACCAGAGAAAACCCCCAGTTTAGGGTGGGGTTCGTGTTGCTCAGTCTTTGGTTTTCAGCGTTGTACTTTTCGTAGACTATTGTTTTAGCATTTGGTCTTTTTTCGGGGTTTTTTTTGCCATTGCGTTGTCAGTTTGTGTTCGACTTCTCCCATTTGTTCTTTCCGCCATTTTTACAGAACAAACTGATTGTATCAGGCTTTCCGTTTCCATCCGAATTTTTCTAGGTACCATTTGGCAGTTAAGGTTGTTCGCTGCTCTGGTTTTTGACTTTTTGTCAGATATTCGAAATACTGTAATGTTATCCATGTAGTGCTTATAAAAAAATTGCCCACTAACCCCTTCTTTTCTTTTCATAATTTTATTACATATAGTTTGAAAAGCCATTTTCAAAACTCTTTCAAAATCCTTCTCATTTTTCATAGTTTTTGAAAGAAATAAGATGCTACTGTTAAATTTATGAAAATCTAGAGAAAACCATTTCCCGCCAAATTTTCAATTGATTAAATCTCAAAAACAAGAACACGGACCTATATTTGTTTTCTGCTTTTTAAGTTCTGTTATTCATATACTATCAATTTATACCAGTCTTTTAAAAAGTATTTTGAAACAGAGTAGCGAACATCCTAAGAGCGTGACGTATGGTATTGACTGTTGTCTATCTTGATAAATATGTTAAATTTTGACTCTCAATGTTTTTAGGTTTTATTTTAAATTCTCTCTCAAAGATGTCTCGTATAGAGAAAGTGTCTGTTCTCTGTAGGTTAAATACCCATACTAAATGTTTTGGGATCCAAGATTTGGCGTTTTCAAAGCAAATTTTCTGTGTCTACCAAACTTGTCCCGGACTTCCATTAATCAGCCCAAAATATATATCTGGATGGAGAGTTAATTTGGATGGAGAGTTGTCTCATTGGCACTCATACCACCTCTTCCTATAACTATCTCATTTTATCCTAATCTACAATTCGACCATTCTATTGAGTACAGTTAAGTATTGATCAGAAGTAGGACAAAATAATCTAATAATAAAACAATTTCTCACGATAACAAATTTATTGTTCAGACACTTGCTAGAAAAAAGTAAAATAACAAAAATACCGAACTCCAAGGAAAATTCAAATAGGAAAGTCCCTTATCAAATGGCAATATCAAAAGCGGAAACACATCAAATGAATGGAAAACAACTGTCCTATTCCTGACTTGGAACAGGCATCTCCTTATGTAAAAAAATGGTAGATTAAACCTGGTTTGCCAGGTGATGCTGAATAACAAATGAAACTTGATGAAGTTTTTATAAATCTTTTTTTTTTTAGATTGCTTTAAAAGTGCTAAAAAGGACGTCATAACAAACAAAGGAGTACAGCAGCATATGATTGCATCATTTTATGATTACATTTATGATAACAGTTGTGCTAATTCAATTTATTATATATTTATACTATGTTCGAAAGTATTCAGTTTATTTTAATGAAAATAATTATAGAATTAAAGCTTAAATGACTTGTTTTGAAATTTTCAATCTAAAGTTTGAGTTTAAAAATTTGAGATCAATTCCAAGAGTTTTTGGAGTACATATTTTTAAGAGGAAATCATGTAAAAGTTGGAAATATTGATTGTTTGTATTATGAATTATATTACATTATGGTAAATAGTTACCGAAAGTACCAGGCTTATAATTTGATACGCCAGACGCGCGTTTCGTCTACTTAAGACTCATCAGTGACGCTCTGGTCAAAATAGTTAGAAAGCCAAACAAGTTTAAAGTTGAGCATTGAGGACCCAAAATTCCAAAAAAATTGCCAAATACGGTTAAGGTAATCTATGCCTGGGATAAGAAAAATCCTTTGTATTTTGAATAATTCAAACTTTTGCAAACAGTTAATTTTTACAAAATACCATATAATCGATATACATGTCAACACCGAAGTGCTGACTACTAGACTGGTGATACCCTAGGGACGAAACGTCCACCAGCAGTGGCATCGACCCAGTGGTGTAAATAGTTATCAAAGGTACCAGGCTTATAATTTGATACGCCAGACGCGCGTTTCGTCTACATAAGAATCATCAGTGACGCTCTGATCCAAACAGTTAGAAAGCCAAACAAGTATAAAGTTGAAGAGCATTGAGGACCCAAAATTCCACAAAGTTGTGCCAAATACGACTAAGGTAATCTATGCCTGGGATAAACTGTTGTTTATTGTTACAGTAGTAGCTTGTACTTTCTAGATTTAACTTCATCGCTCATACAAAAACAGATTTAGATTGAAGCTATTAATATATAAAAATTGTAGAAATCGTTAGAGGTATATGACCAAAAGAGACATAATTCAGCTAAAGACAACTCTTCCTGTTGGAGTTAGAACCTTTATTTTTTTTTTAGTCATTTTTTTCATTTATCAACAGGAAATTTCAGAAAAAATCAATAATGTTGAAAATCTCACAATTTATAATTTATAAAGAGCTATTTTTTGAAGATCTTTCCGATTCTATTTGAATTATGATGCACTCCTGATTCTTAACAGTTGTCTTACGATTGCCAAAATGTTACGGAAAGACTTTATAAATGTTAGATGCATTTATAAAGTGATGACACAACTATCTCTTTAAAAACAAATATGTAGAGTTTATTGATATGGATTTACGATTATTACTGACGTACACATGTGGAGTGCCACATGTGAAGCAGGATATCCTTACCCTTACGGAGCATCTGCTATCACCTCTTATATTGGTGGGATACTTGTTGCTCAGTTTTATGTATTGGTTTGAAGCTTGTTGTTTGGGGTTTTCGTTATTTTTCATTTTTCCCATGATTTATCGTTCATTCTTCGAGTAAAGAGATTTGATTCTCTCATATGGTATCATACGACCGTTTTTATTGACTTTCTTTACTTTCCTTGAAGCTGTTCACTTTTGCTGACCTTCCAGTAACTATCTATATATGGAACACCATGACAATATTTGGTTCTTTAATGTATTGAAATTCTAGTATTCGACTGTGTGATGTGTCATATACACCCTTCACAAATTAAGGTTGAAAATAAATACTAGTATAATGTTCAGTAAAGAGAGGTTAACATGATAAGGTTTTTAGTGATTATGAATAAAAGGAAGTCACCATTAAACAACTGAACTGAAATGTGTTCTCTTAATATTTGCTTAGTGACAACAGTATACTCATGTGCTCTTTTTTAATTACATTTGAACCTCTTTGTATCAAAAACTCGGATAAACCAGGGTATAAGGAATTAGATATTACAGCATATTGATTTCTACTTTCATATAAGCTCTGCACCTAGTTGCATTTAATATTATTATTTTAATTGTGATCCTCACATAAATCATTATCATTTTGATCACAGAAAGACTGGTGTATGAGTGTAATTCTTCCCAATAGGAGTTTGAAGACTACAGCTGACACATTTCAAATTTATGACACGGTTAAAGTTCCTTTGATTTTTGAGATTAAATAGGTCTGCCTGAAGATTATTCAAAACTGTTATACACATGTGTCGAATGTCGTCCAAAAGGTACCAAAGACAAAATGCAATATTATAACTAAAATAAATTGCATAATGTTTTAATTTATTCTGCAATTGAGTGTCTTATCATACATTAACAGCCCAATCGATATCGGTAGCCTGTATTTGTGTACTATACAGATATCGATTTAAAGCTCCGCCCACTGCCGACTTTTTTGTGTATTGCTGTTGACGAGTGTTGTAAGAACATTCGTGAACTCAGAATGTGTATTGCAATCGCATTCCAATGAGGTATTGCGCCGTCTGTGAATTTTCGAGTCTTCGATCCGTAACCCACTTTCTGCTTTTGGCAAACATGAACAGCTGGATTAACACCATTTTCTACGGCGCCAATCTTTAAGTTAAAAACTTAAATGTGTAAATGTGCAACACACAAATCAACCAAGCATCAATGTAAATAATCAGTGAATGCACGGATAGTTCGAAATTCTGAAGCGTAGGACAAAACAAACACTTTTGTCTTAAATCGGACAATGTTTTGTTATTTCTGTCTACTGTTGAAATTAGTTGTTATGTTATAATAAATGATTATCAAATTTGAGCGATGTATTATTGTTGAACATGCGAGATTCTCTTCAGCGTACCGGTCATCAGCTGATTGTGTAATTTATAAAAATCATGATTACTACGAAGGCTTCAAAGGATTTTAAATCGAAAGTAAATGAAATAAATGTGAGTTTTGCTGTCTTTTAAAGCAAAAACAATGTACAAAATTAAATGCAGGATAAAAACAATAACTGTTTAGTGTCTTTAAATATCAGCTGTATTTGTACTCGACTCGAAACAGGAGTGATAGCTCGCTGAAGCTCGCATTACACCTGTTTCTCAGCCTCGTTCAAATACAGCTGAAATTTAAAGACACTAAACAGTTATTGTCTATTTATGTTAACACCACACGTGATAAATATTGAAATACACGCCTGCAATATAATTCAATTCCTTTCATCTGTATATACAAGTAAGTATGAAAAATTATGATTGAAAATTGTGAATGGAATTCAAGAAAAACCAATGGTGCACTCATTTTGTCAACTTTTGTAAACAAAAATAGAACGGATAAGATCAATTCATGAATTATTATTCACCATACAAGGAATATAATAGTGCGTTGAATGCTTTCGGTTATAGGAGGATTTTGATTGGGGGTCCTTCATTTCTGCATTATTCAATTTCTTATGGAAGTTTTCTCTATCCTTTATATTTTTGTCTCATTATTCTATATACTTTTTACTTTAGCACCCCGTTATTCTCTATTCTAAATGTTGTTGTCCTATTTTATCTGTTCTTTATATATTTCTGCCTTTATTCTGCACTTTTTTGCTAATCATTTTCTAATCTGTAAACCCAATTCAGACTCTCTTCAGGATTTGAGTGATATTTTTTCCAGATCTTTTCGGATCTTAGTTCAAGAGCATTCATTTTTAACTTGAACAATAATTGAATGTGTATTCAACCAAATAACTGTAAGCTATTCCAATTATTAGATTCTTCTATTTCTTCATCGTTTTCTTTCTTAACTTAACAGGCATTTGAAGTAAGGCGTAAGCCAGTTACGATTTAGTCTTATTCATTTCGACACGTACATATATTATCGTATATGTTTTCTTTTCGTGTTTGTTCCAATGTCTGATTTCATGTACTTATCTAATCACATTTCATATAACAAAAAACTGGCTGTGTAATTATAAACGTATACTATTGAAGTAGTGTCATATATCGACGGTTTAATTGAAAAGTTGTCAGTCTATGATAACGACTTTTTTACAAACAAATATTAGCAATTGAAAGGATTAAGTATGGCTACTTATAACTTAATTTTTTTTTAATTTGTACTGTTCACAATGAGACTGTTTCGATACATAGTTCTACCTAGTTTTTAGAAAATGTCCCGTTTTGTAAAATGAAAGTAAAACTAAAAGTTGACAATAAATGTCTTGATCAAAATGATAAACTGTTGAATTGAATATTAAAAGTAATCTATAGATAAAAAAGAATGCAAATGCTCAATGAAGCGATATAATGCTAGGTAAACGTGTTATTATAATGAAATGCGTTGAAAGCAAAGAAAATTTCTAAAATTGAAATAATTTAAGTGCAACTGTAATGGTTCAACTGAGAAATTAGGTCAAGTTGTAAATCTATATTTATATGTATTAGCGATAGTTATACACAAAGGGAGAATAACTCAATGTGTCTCACTTATGCACCATTAATCTGAATTTGAATGTTTTGAGATGACTTTGATCATAATCATTTATTTGTGTTTGATTAATTTATATGGGTAACTGAAAAAGGTAAGAGAAAATAAACAATATATTTTGTTCATTTCCAATATTTAAACAGTTTTTGAAAAGTTTTACGTTGATATTGAACATTCCTCACGTGTTCTTGTATTGGCATATATAGTAATGTTAATATATATAGAAGCATTCATATTTACATGCAAGACGGAACAATCAGATACAAGATACGAGCTAAAAAAAAAATCGGTAATATGAAAATGTTGATGTGTAATATTGCCAGTGGGACAATATTTTCGGCAAAGGTCCGAAGGTCAAGGATGAAAACAATTACATTGATGCATGTGGTGTTCAACAATGAGTAAAACCCTCGCCGTATTATACAAGAAATCGGCATAACAAAATATAAACAATGTATAAGGAATAACGACGCAGAATATAGGCAAATAACGATCAATAAAACCAATATGGCAGACATAATACATTATATCAAATACATAGCACAGTTCTGATCTAAATGAAATTAGACAAGTTATGTCGTCAACATTGAAGTCATTGAAGGGCTAAATCATGTAGATATAAAATAAATCCTAGAGAAAAAAAAAGTAACGAGGTTCTTGTTGTTATACATTTTAAACATATGTATTTCGCCTTTAGGTTAAATTGTAGAAGAATGATATCATAATGATGTCCATACTATTGATACTTCAGGTAAGCTTACTTATTTCCTGGTAATGAACATGATGAATCCATTTCATATCTTTATATACTAAATAAGCATAAAATCGAAAATTCCAATATAGGAAATAGATCTGATGATATCTTTTATAAAATAATACTTTTTCCTTTACCTTTAAAGCTTGTGATACTTAAGAAACAAATTAAAGTAATTAAATATTGATGCCATAAAAGCTGATACTAAATATTACAGTTATTTACTTTCACGGTACAACAATTAATCTGTCGATACCTATAGTTTGGCGTTGCACAAGGTCATGTTTTTCTCTGACTGTTAATGCTTTACACTAACTGATTAAAATTTTAGCCTTAGATACATGATTTTTTTAATTAGTTGAAATTGGCTTTGAACTAGCTGTCAGTAATTGCGAGTACTCTCAGATCTGTATTTGGTGCCTTTTTTTATTGTTGTGGGGATGTATAAAAACCAGTCCACGTCCAATCTGTGTTTTTGTTAGATGTAATTCTATTTGTATCCATCTGATGAGTTAAGCCTTTTTCAATTGATTTGTATAGTTTGTTCTTATATTGTACTGTCCCAGGTTAGGGGAGGATTGAGCGCTCACAAACATGTTTAACCCTGCCAAATTCTGTATGTGCCTGCCCCAAGTCAGGAGCCTGTAGTTCAGTGGTTGTCCATGGTTCATGTCTGTGATATTTGTTTTTCGGAAATTGTTTTGTTATACATTAGTTCGAGTTTTCTCAATTGAATTGTTTCATATTTTTCATGTGGGGACCTTCTATAGCCGACCATACGATATGGGTTTTTCTCATTGTGGAAGCGCTACGGTTGCCTATAATTGCTTACATCCACTTCATTTGAACTTTGGTGGACACTTGTCTCATTGGCAATCATGCCACTTCTCCTTATGTTTATATTGCTACAGTTATATTTGTATTTAATGTTTGTCTTCGATCAATCGGTTTATAAAATGAAATGTTGAATAGTGTTTTTGTCTTATCTTAACTCATCATACTATTTTGTTTTTTAAATATAGGTTTTGATAGGTGTGTTGTCATAAATTAATGAATCGAATAAAGTAAAATCATCGAATGCACTGTAGATTTTGTCTTACTTCTTTATACTTAATACGTGTAATGTATTTGACTCGGTCTTTTTGTTTCGAGGTTTACTATAAAAATGATCGCTATTCTATATTCTGGCATCCATCCATCTGATCTTCTATTATAAAGCTTATAATAGCGATCAAAAACTACAGCCTAATATTGTTTTCTATAAGTGATTCTCACATGAAAACCACTGTTTCTAATTTTACAACTTTCAAGCTTATATGTATGACTTAAACATCTACAAGGCAAATGGTCATTCGAGAATAAGTATAAAAAAGAAGATGTGGTATGATTGCCAATGAATAAACTCTCCACAAGAGACCAAATGACACATACATTAATAACTATAGGTCACCATACGGCCTTCAACAATCAGCAAAGCCAAGAAGACATACCTTGCATTACTTAAATCTTTTATTTTCTTTTCAAATATTAGACAGTTTAATTTGAACTCGTCTAAAATTGTTTCGATCAGGTTTTAGAGTAAGCTTCTAATAGTTCTACTGTAGTAAGCTTGTTTTAATATGAATACATATAGAGCATATTTCATATGGTCCCAGTGTAAACATGTAAAACAAACTGCGTCCCATTTGATATATGGCATATTTTTTTCAAATCTTGTTGTATTTACTAGAAAAGTAAAGCATCAAACACGTATGATAAAGTGCGAATAATCAAAAGAGGAGATAACATGTGTTGTGGTTAACATGTCAGATTTTAGTTAAAATGATTTCAATCTGATAGTGTTAAAGTACAATGATATACACAAATGCCGCTTATAAAAATTCTTACGGTTAATAACACAAGTTAAATTGTCTTCCCCGGGAACAATGGACCATAAGTTAAGAAATTTTCACCATGTATTTAGTATTCAATTTTAATTCTATTTTGATATATTCTTTTTACCATATTTTTACCTAATTTCTGTATACTATTTATACAGTTTCAATGGTTTAAGGGCGCCAAAAGGATGTACATGTGTTTATTATTGTGCAGGGACTAACTTTATGCGAGTGATGCATTTGTTACAAGTTTGAGCAATAGGAAGAAACTAAGAATATTTTCTACTTCGCTTGTCCTGTTTCTCAAGCTATGAATATTTTTTATCTATAAAATATCCAGTAACATTAAACCCAAATTGAAATATCTGATTGTAAAATGGCATTTACATTTGTACTGTAGACTATATTCATTCGCGTATAACCAAAATATCCATTGTTCAAGTTTTATTCAAATAGTCTATACATAACATTTTACAATTATACATTGTTATACACGAGGGTCAGGATGAGATATACAAAATAGAATTCAACAGATAAAATATAAAATATAAAGAATAGAGAAAATGGATATAAAGATAAGAATAGAGACTATGAGATGCACAAATATTGAGAGTTAAAAAAAATGAGCCAAACATTTTTTTATAGAAAAATGCAGTAAATATCAGAGAATACATAAATCAAGAACTTCCATCAATCCAGACACATATACATACTACTTACTGAAAATTTACAATTGAAAGCTGTTATATTGGATGTCAAATTATCGCTAACAAACAAGTCCTTCAATCTGCCTTTGCATTAATTTTTTCAGATATTTACGTTTTGCTATGGATATGACATGCAATGTCCAGATCAGGCTCAAAGGTCGACACGAGCAAATGCAATTTGTTTTGACCCTTTAAAATACTCCTGTTTGGATGACTCATCGAAACAGTATTATGAAAACAATAAGACTATAAGAGGCTATTCTGAGAACTGCACCAGATTTGACAAAGAAGGAGCAGGTTTGTAATTAAGATAAGAATTTTGTCACTTATATCTTTTTTCCTTACAAAAGTATATAAGTTTGTCACCATTGAAGTTTACTAATGCAATGGAGTGAACTTTATGATCACAATAAAAACAAATAAAACATAGAACAACTGGCAACTCTTATGTTTTAACAATGTTTTCCAGTATTTCAACTGAAAGAATCTAATACACTTAAAGCCTTTGTGCAATGCAAAGGATTTGCTTTTCCTGGATCATTGCCTGTGAATATTTTTTAACTAAAATTGATCTAGCGAAATGATTCTAAAGCGAAACATAAAATTCAAGTTATTGCATTTGCTAATATTGTCCGATTAGATGTCATAAATTGACTTAAGCTGAAAAAACTGCAAAAACCGTACAATTAAAGACCAGCGAAACATATAGAAGCCAATATCAAAGCATCTTTTTGAATAGTTCGACATTATATGAAGCCTCATCGACCTACTACTCAAAATGTTAGTGGAAAACTAATTATATCGTTAAATGAAATCGGCAAGATTTTTTCACATGTCATTTCAGGTAGAAAAATTGTTATTCGAGGACGTTTTGATGGTATTAAATGTGATAAAAATCGCTACCAACCGATTCCCTTCCTCACAAATATAAGTCATGAGTGTTTGTTTCGGAAATCTGAATGTGCGGAAGAAGGACAGATGGTAGTAAACGATTCTAGCACGACAAAGGATGTTTCATGCAGATGTGATTACACTGAAGGATATGGATTTTTAACTAGACCTGCGCATCCATGCTTTTGTATACCATCAAAAGAAGATTGTTCTTGTTATCTGAAGAAGTGCAACTACAATAAAAAACTTTCACCTGGTAAGTGAAAAACGGGTAAAATATCTTACATAAATTACATATTACATTTCTAAACGTAAATTAAAACCGACGCTTTTATATCGTGGGTGCTAACTCAGTATTCAGGTACTGATATATCATTTCAATAAGTGCAGAGCGAAAGGTGTTAATCTCGAATCAATCATTTACTACCTTTCCCTCGATTTCATTCAAGTATTTTCGTTGCATCTGATTTCATTAAGGTATTTTAGTTGCATCTGATTTCATCAAGATACTTTTGGGTGCATCTGATTTCATTAAGGTATTTTTGGGTGCATCTGATTTCATTAAGGTATTTTTGGGTGCATCTGATTTCATTAATGTATTTTAGTTCCATCTGATTTCATTAAGGTATTTTAATGGTTTTAATTGGCCAGTCCTTAGTCTTCTGTTAAGGAGTCTGGTACTTGTTTATTGTATCGATCTCTTGTCGTTGCGTTTTTATATATTATCTTGACTTACGGTTTGCTTTTTTGTTTGTCTGTCATAATATTATTGTACGTTTAAATATATTATGTACGATTGTAGATTACCATTGCACTAACGCTTCAAATAAAGAAAACAGGTTTAAATGTTCGAAAGTAAACAAGTGAGTCTTTTTACATGTTTTGTTTATTATCACAAATGTAGCACATGTAAGAATACCAAGCGCTGTTAAGTAAATGAACACATAACTTCATAATTTCTATATTTACCAACGGAGCATACAAAATAAAATAAAACAAGAAACATATCGAACTGCAAGGAAAATTCAAAACGGAAAGTCCTATATAAAATGGTAAAATCGAAAGCTCAAACACATCTAACGAATGGAAAACAACTGTCATATACCTGACTTGGTACAGGCATTTCCTTATGTAGAAAATTGTGGATTAAACCTGGTTTTATAGCAAGCTAGACCTCTCACTTGTATGACAGTCGTATTGAATTCCATTATATTGACAACTATGTATGAGCAAAACAAACAAACAAAAGGTATATTTTAAATCACGTCGTCATCAACCAACTAACTACTGAGCTGATGATACCCTTGGAACTAATAGTTCTCCCAGCAGCAGTATCTTTCCAGTGTTACAAAAATGAAAATAACAGTTTTCATGTTTCTGTAATACTTTTCTGATTTTGTTTACCTCCAACAGGAAGGCTATAAATTTTAAAGTCGAGCATGTGTAAGTACAAACACACTTTTAGAGTTTAATGACAAAAAGAGAACTAATAAAAGCCAAATCTATCTTAGATAAATTTTATCTGAGGAAATTGGAACCTTAGTTTTAAATAATTTCTAAATTAATAAACAGATAATTTAAGAAATATGAATACATTTCAACGAAATGAAATCAAGAAACACAATATACCTAAAAATAACTTGAGGTCAGTAGTTGTAACGTATTCGGGATAATCGTTCTCATTAAGTTATACTATAATAATATTCTAAATCATCAAGCAATATATCACATGCTGGCCTAATGTAGTTATTTTTTTTTTCATCCAACGTTGCTGTCTTAAATATCAAGTAACCTAGGTTTTGTAAAATTGGTATTAAACGGCTAATGAAAGATACCAGGCAAAAGACAAGTTAAGAACTACATTAGGTAGTGCTAAACCGGAAATTTTTGTGCATTGTTATATAAGCGGCCTTATTTAAGAATTGAATGCTTCTTTTTGTAAATTCATTGGGGTGTAGAAGCGTTGACCGAAGTACATTTGGTATGAAGCCCGGTCAACGCTTTTACAGCCCTACTAAAATATACATTCAATACTTATAATTACATTTTTTCGCTATGATCATGAAAACACGATTACTATAATTTTTTTTCTCTTTTATTTACCTGTGCTATTTATTGTAGAAACGTGTGTCATCATGTATGTTACAATTCATGAAATTCATTTTGAAATGAAGAATGACACAAGATTGCTGTTAGCCAATCAAACTAACGTATATTAATGAAACATACATCTAATGTAATTATAAGCAAATATATCTATTACTAACTAAATTGAAGCTATATTAAGATTCTAACCAATTGTCACTGACTGCCATTGACCAGCTGCAAAAAATAACCTTTCTTTTCCAACATATTTGCGACTGATACAAAACGCTTGATATATCTCTCATTAGCGACACGACGTGCGCCGCCCGTGGAGCAGGTTTTGTTTGCTCCTCCGGAAAACCTGCGATGAACTCTGTTGTTTTTTGTTTGCAGTGTTGGAAAAGAGTGATGTTTTTCTTTTCGTCGTTTTTCGTTGTTTTGATATTATTTTGTTTGTCTCTTCTTAGAGTAGTGATTTTTGTTTCGATCATTGGAATGTTGCGCTCTGACCATTGTGTAAAATAAGAGAAGGTTATTGGAACTTTATTATGGTATAAGCTGTTCTATTTCCTTTTTAGCTCATTCGGACCAAAGGGCCACATGAGCTCTTCTCATCACTTGGCGTCCGTCGTCCGTCGTCCGTCGTCCGTCGTTAACTTTTACAAAAATGTTCTCCTCTGAATCAACTGGGCCAAAGTTAACCAAACTTGGCTACAATCATCATTGGGGTATCTTGTTTAAAAAATGTGTTCGACGACCCGGCCCACCAACCAAGATTGCCACCATGGCTAAAAATAGAACATACGGGTAAAATGTAGGTTTTGGCTATTATCTCTGAAACTAAAGCACTAAGAGCAAATCTTGCACAGGATAAAATTGTTTATCAGGTCAATATCTATCTGCCCTGAAATTTTCAGACAAACCAGACAACCCGTTGTTTGGTTGTTGCCCCTGAATTGGTAATTTTAAGAAAATTTTGCAGTTTTTAGTTATTATCTTCAATATCATTATAGATAGAGATAAACTGTAAACAGCAATAATGTACAACAAAGTAAGATCTAAAAATAAGTCAACAGACCAAAATGGTCAATTGACCCCTTAAGGAGTTATTACCCTTTATAGTAATTTTTTAACAATTTTTCGTAAATTTTTGTAATCTTTTACAGAAATCTTCTCCTCTGTAACTACTGGACCAAATAGAATCAAACTTGGCCACAATCATCATTGAGGTATCTTATTTACAAAATGTGTCCGATGATCCCGACCGATGACCTAGATGGCTACCATGGCTAAAAATAGAACATAGGGATAAAATGCAGTTTATGGCTTATATATTTGAAACTAAAGCATTTGCAGCAAATCTGACAATTGGTAAAAATGTTCATCAGGTAAATTTCTATCTGCCCTGATATTTTCAGACGAATTAGACAACCCGTTGTTGGGTTGCTACCCCTGAATTGGCAATTTTAAGGAAATTTTGCAGTTTTTTGATAATTATCTTGAATATTATTATAGATAGAGATAAACTGAAAACAACAATAATGTTCAGCAAAGTAAGATCTACAAATAAGTTAATATAATCAAAATTGTCAATTGACCCCTTAAGGAGTTATTGCCTTGTACAGTCAATTTTTAAAAAATTTTCAAAAAATTTTGTAATGTTTTACAAAAATCTTCTCCTCTGAAACTACTGGGCCAAATAGAATCAAACTTGGTCACAATCATCATTAGGGCATATAGTTTGTACAATTTTTTTTGCGTTTTTGTCTTATATCTTAAAACTTATTATAGATAGAAATAAACTTAAATATTCAAAAATGATCAACAAGACAAGATCTACAATTAGACAAATGGAGGGAATTGTTCGAGGACTCCTTGTTGGAATTATTGCCCTTTAATGACGATTTTTACCATTTTTTTGCGTTTTGCTTTATATGATAAAAATTATAATAGATAGATAGAAATTTAAATAATCAAAAATGATAAGCAAGACAAGACCTACTAACAAGTCAGATTTTGCTGATATATATAGTAGACTGTTACTATTTATAGGAGTTATTGTCCTTACATTATGATTTTTTTTACCCTCTTTTGTGTTCGGAGCAAAAGCTAAATAAGAAAGAGAGAAACTAAACAAACTTCAATGATCAGCAATTTAAGATAAGAAAAAAACCAGATATCTTTGTCATTTATTCTATTCTCGTCTACAATGTTGGAGAGTGTCCTTTGTTGAATATGCATATTGACCAAGGTGAGCGACACAGCCTCTTTTTTATGATAGTTTATATACGTGTTTCCAAATGATCTGACTAGTATCAGGTATGATTCACTTGCCACATTTGCAAAGATAACTCTTAGAACCTATGACTTAAAGCGAAAGTAGTTTATCAATAACCACATCCATTTCATACTATTTTAATTCCCACAAATGCATATTTCTAGATTTTGAATTTTCATGGGAATAGATATATTTTGAAGAAAGATACAAATCCTTGGTTTTTGATGGGGTTTGTGTTGTGCAGTATATGGTTTTCTATGTAATGTTTAGTTGACTTGATTGTTTTTTGTCTTTTTCTTTTTTGTCATGGATTTTTCGGTTTCCTTCAACTTCCGATTTTGAATGTCCCATTTTCGGTATAGCAACTTGTAATTTCAATTTCATTTTTATTGTTATTCCTTATATTAGAAAATAGTTTAAACTTATATCCACGCTCATCTATGCTGATAATGAAATTTTTTATTAGAGGTAAAATTTGACATTGGGAGAAAATCAAGTAATTAAATTTGTACCAAAAACAGAAATGAAAAACTATTAAAACTAGAAAACTAACCTGATGTATGTATAAAAAAAAACCCAAAAACAAATATTGTACACAGCAACAAACGAGATCCACTGAAAAACAGGCTTGGGACAGACACAAGCAGATTGAAGCGGGATTAATCCAGCTTGCGGGCGCCCAACCCTACCTTAACATTTGTCATTGATGTTACAGCACAACATAAGAACAAACTATAAAAATCAGTTAAAGAGCTTAACTCATCAAAATAATTATGTGTATGTGATCGGTAAGAAAATCTGTCGACTGAATTTAGAAATAACGTTGGACATATGTTCGTTTGTGATAAAAAAAAAAAGAGATTGTCTCATGATTGTCTGTGAAAAAAAAACCAGGTTTATCTTTATGTTATCGTGTCTAAAAAATGAAAAAGTATATTTCACAAATAAAGGATAAGCTGTTGTACGTAATGAAAGATCTTTTAACATTTCATTAAATAATTCCAGAAGAGTGATTCCAGATATTGAGGTCAAACCACCAGTAAAAAATGTGTATCAGAACAATAGTTCAGAGTTAGGTATGGTATAATGGAAGTAGCAATGTTTTATAAAACATTATACTTTTAGGCAATGTTATTACATCATGACTCAATGCAAATTATAAACCATAACAAACTCAAATTTGACCAGGCGAAATAGAAATGATTTCGTTGCGATCAGTTGCAAGGTTAGGAGCAATGCATATGTAATTGGGTGATATTGATTATTTTGCAATGAAATATAATTTTTTATACAACAATCTGACGAAGAATGTTTGAAAAATGCAAATTGAAGTAAAAAAGGCGCAATTTTCAACTTTTTTGATAAACATTCTATAAGCATAAAAGTTATATATACAAATGTTGACTCTCGGATGCAGCTCGATGAGTTTTAGATGCTTTCAAAATTTCATCGAAATCATGAATACCGCTCAATAATATATATACTCGACAATTACTAAAATATTGCTATGTCATTTTAACAATAATATTTTGAATTGATGAATACTTTTTGCAGTCGTTAAAGAACAAAAAATGGGTTGATGACATTTTGTGAACAAGGGTATTGCATAATATGATCTACAATTGTAATCTTTTGTTGCAATGTGTGTCAATTAATGTGTTTTAGTGTGATAATTTGTGCACATTTTGTGATGAGAAACTAGGGCTGGATTAAACTCAGATATTTTCTGAGATTAAAAAAATACTTTAGATTTATCGTTCGCAGGAATTCTCCGTTAAGATTTTAATCATATCAATAAAAATTCTGCAGACTGTTTACTTTACCAACAATAAGCAATTGCGATAATATTGTATCAATAGAATACCAATAGGAATAGTAAAAGTTTTTAAAATTTGTTATAAATCGTGTCCTCGATTAGAACCCCTTAGTATGGTACCCTGTATAAAAACATTGCAGATGCCAGATTCCTTTCTAAATGTTAGTATTTGATTCATTTTTAGAATTCAGTATTTAATGCGAGTTTAATAAGATAAATATAGATTTCGGATACAGGATAAGGCGAACATATCAATTAAAAAGCAACCCAATTAAATTGATAACGAAATTACATTTAAAGACAATGCACAATCGTCCACACTAGACAGGTGATAAGGAATGCTTATAAAAACGACATGATTGCTTATGTTATACTTTTGCAAATTCCATCACTCATTCCTTATCAATACGATCATAGGGTAAAATATCACAATTAAGTATTCATATGAAAATTGTAGACGTCAAATATTATCTTTCAGTTGATAGTAGAACCGACGTGGTATATATCATTGTGTGCGGTGGTAAGTTTTTTTAATCATCAGTTCTCATATACAATGTCCAGATCTTTTGTTCAAATGCAACAAGAATTAATAGAAATATAAAGAACATATTTTGTTATAACATTATATCAAGAAAATTTGAATATCGCATGAAAATAGAAAACTAGCAATATTAAAACTGAGTCGGAGAATCGGAAAATGACACTTTTTTTAAATGACACTCTTTTAACGGCTTCAAATGAGACAACAATGTTCCATATAAATTGAGATATGATATTTGTACATTTTGCTTGCAGTTTCTCACAGTTCCTGCAGTTGGTCGCGGGAAAAATCTCATGAAGATATACATGTATCAAGCCTTGTAATTTAATATCTAAATAGTCATTAATGTCCATGTACCATTTTAAACAGACACAGTTATAAAAAAAATTTAAAAATTGAAATGAAATATTAAAGGTAATTGACATTGCAAAACATATAGCACATTTGGTTTCCATTAGAATGCCGATTGTTTGTTGAAAAACAGTCCTCTAAACGTAACACAATTGTCAATTAAGAATCCAATCTTGATTATAACGTTTCAGAGACGTTTTTACTTGAATCTGAGAGATGTTTTACAAACTACGATGTATCCCTCCCTAAGACAAGATACTTGTATCCACGTTGGCCATAATTTTTTAACAAAACAAAGCAGGACTACTTCTGTCAATTTGTCCTTTAGTGTGGAATGGGGGATACTTGTCTAAACGACAAAAAAAGTCAAATGTTTCAAAAATTAAGCTCTTACGAGAAGAAAGAGATTTCAATTATATATACTCTAACAGGTCTTTCAACCTGACAAATGGAGATCTCGTGTAATCCTTATTTCTTTTATGCTATTAGGTGTTCTGTAAGCAACAATCAAACAATATTATAACCATGGTTGTTTACATAGATACATAATATCTTTGGCCGTACGTTTATAGATATAAGAAGATGTGGTATGAGTGCCAATGAGACAACTCTCCATCAAAGTCACAATTTGTAAAAGTAAGCCATTATAGGTCAAAGTACGGCCTTCAACACGGAGCCTTGGCTCAAACCGAACAGCGAGCTATAAAGGGCCCCTAAAATGACTAGTGTAAAACCATTCAAACAGGAAAACCAACGGTCTAATCTATATAAAAACGAGAAACAAAATACACTTATGAACGACATCAACAAACGACAACCACTGAACATCAGGTTCCTGATTTATGACATGTGCAATCAAATGCAGCGGGTTTAAACGTTTTAATAGGCTCCAACCTCCACCGAACCTGAAACAATTATAGTGTAACATCACAATATAGAAAGACACACTATAAAATATCAATTGAAATGGCTTATCTTAATCAAAAACATTAACAAAAACAAGTGAACATACACTGAACGAATAAATTTGATCTATGACACAATGTAAATACAAAATTAATAAAACAAGGGGGTAAGATGCAAAACAATATAAGAAAGACAACCATAACCTCTTGGACAAAATGCCGCCAAAGAAATTAACTTACACAGGTAAATAAAAATAAGGTATACAGTCGAGTACGGAAATATATATTACAAAATAAATAATTTTGTTGTTCATAGTACGAGAACAGAAGTGAAAATTTATCGTCATACCAAACACTTATTGAAGGTGGAAAATATTAAAAATAGTGAGACGAGATATATAAAAAAGTAAACAGTAAATATAAAAAATGCATTACAAATAGTATCAACAGGTTAAATTAACATAAAAGTGCGATTTGATAGAACTCGAAGTTACTGAAAGCTAGTTAAAAGCCAAAAACAATTAATAATAAAAAATCATGCATCTGACACTCAAATCAACTAAAACACATCTCAGGGATTTAGTGTTTTAACGTCATGGACAGTTAAAGAAGACATGACTTGTGCAATGGCAAAATAAAAGTATCGACAGGCAGTAGGGTAGTTATGAGTTAACCTTTTATAACAAATAAGTATAATGCTATGTATAGATACAATAATATGTATAGAAAATGAACGTGGATGTGTATTTAAACATTCCAAGAAAACGGTTGAAAAGAATACAACTTTAGTTATGTTTTAATTTGCTGATGACAAAATCGATATTTGTGCCAATGTAAACTATATTCAAAGATCTAATTACAACATTGGTAAGATAACCTTTACTAAGTTTGTTTAAAGGTTCGATGAGTTTACACGGATCACAAAGTGATTTCCGCGCTTTTAGTACAATATTACCGTAAAATTTAGGATGTGAAATACCGTTTTTAATAATAAGTTTTCTACAGGTACAGCCAAATTTACTAATCAAATCTTTGTATCTAACGAAGCTTATTTGTCGTCCCCAGTCTGATTATATAGTGATCTCAAACAGATTCACCGCCAACAGGGCGACATAATGAGACAGCGGACAATTGATTAAGAATAAAAAAAACTGTATGCGTTTTGATAAAACTACAATTACGAAAGACCGAGAAAAACCATCTTGGTCATGAAATTAGTGTTTTTATGCTTTCAAAATTCTTACGATTGACATGATAGACGAAATAACAATCAAAATTCCAATTAATTAATAAATATGTTAAATACTTTATCCTTTAACGTTGAATCTGTATTATCTTATAAACCAATGATGTGTTCGATTTCAGTTTTTTTTAATATGGTGTTCATCGCTACAGTATGTCGAGGCATTTGGAAAGGTATGTTAAAAATTGAGATTTAATCGTTTGATCTTTTATTACGTGTTTGAAAGGAACTAATAATCAGTAGCCTATCAATATCCAAATGTCATAAATCGAGCAGAAAGACAAATAATAGGTACTTACACACCCTACGGGATTCGCATACACTAAAAGAAGAGCAGGACCGGGTGCGTCGACATGGTAAGCGTCTACTGCATGCATGCATCTCATGCTATGCGAATCCACACAGAGGGAAAATGATATCACCAAGAATCGGACAAAATTGATAACATTACTATAGATAAGACGGCTTCTATCCACACACACATGGAAATAATCTGCTGCTTTTCGAAAAAGGAATGGGAATATGTGATTCGATTTCCAATTAGTTGTTTTTCTATTCTTATGTTCTAGTGAAATTAAGGTCTTCAAGATACCCTTTATAATCTATGAATAATTGATTTTCATATGCATGCACTTTATTTTGAATTGATAAAGAAAAAAATGCAATAGTCAAAACTGAACTGAAAAATAAACTTATATAGTAATTTTATTGTATGTATTCTGTATATTTTCGCAAATTTTATTCGATAGAAAGTCGTTATCTTGATGAAGAAACAAAAGAAACATATTTAAAGGATATACGTTCTGGGGAGGAGCGACATCGACATATTCGAGTAGCTATTATAGGAGAGAAGGGTGTTGGAAAGACCTGTTTATTACGCAGATTACTAAAGCAAAGTATTGATGGTGTTCAAAGTACAGATGGAGTCAACATTGAAATTTCTAAATGTAAAATAAGATTGAGAGATGGGCAATGGGAATCATATAAAGGTATGACAATCTTAACAAAAAAAAAACAAGAAACACCGTAGATTTAGATTCAGCTAGGTTTTCTCAAAACGTTGAATAACATTTACAAATTGACAGCGGGTCATTGTGAAACCTAATTTTATGAAATAAAACAGCTGCAACTGTAATACACGATGTTTAAATCTAAAAAAAATTAATTCATGTGAAGAGGCAAAGCAATGTTAAACCGAGGATATTTCGTAGCTAAATAAGAGCAAGTGTGTTTACATGATCCCAACAAAAATTTGAGGTTAACACTACACTGATAATATATGATATTTTCCATTTTCTGTTTAACAGATACAATTTAAATGGTCACATAATGTTTAATCAGAGAACATCATCATTCTATGAAGTCGAACTTAAGAAAATGCTAACTTTTCCCCTGCCTCAAATAATATGAGTGTTACTATATATGTAAGCATATTCTGTCAAATCTGTGATTTGATTTACAGTAAACAATACTTCTATACTTATTCTATTGAACGGCAGCTAAAGTTGTACGTTGAATGATACTAACTACCTATATCGGATTTTCCAAACCTGTACATGTTGGTTAACTCACAATTACAGATCAGCTCGGTCTTGGTTGCTGATAATATTATTTATTTTAGGAACGATGTTAAGTATTGTTTTTGACAGGGCCTGCAATATTACTTTGTCTGTAATGTCAGTGATGGAAATTGGCTATTCAGTTGGAGGACTGGTTGTTTTTCGTTTCATTTAATTTCAAACATGGAGTTTGTGTCATTCCTCGATATCTATATTCTTTTTAATTTGTACAAAATTGTTAAGTTCAATACGATTGTTATCAACATGATCAACGTAGGAAGTGTTTTTCTTATGCACTTTTAATCTGTGTTTTTATTTCACATTCGAACGTTTATATATTAAAGCTAGAAATCGAAAGCAATCTTGATCATAGACAATATTTTTTTTCATGATATTTCGTATACAGATGTCAATTTTATCGGTTTTTACAAATATCTAGAATGTGATTTTGTATTGTGTACTGTAGTTTGGTCTTTTTTTCTTTTTTAGCCATGGCGTTGTCAGTTTATTTTCGACTTATGAGTTTGAATGTATGTCCCTCTGGTATTTTTTGCTTCTCTTTTAAGAAACATACTTTTAAGTTTTTACAAATATCTAGTATGCTATTTTGTGTATGAACTATAGTTTGTTGGTCTTTTTCTGTTTAAGTCATGGCGTTGTCAGTTTATGTTCGACTAATGAGTCTGAATGTCCCTCTGGTATCTATCACCTCTCTTTAAAGAAACGTGCATTTCAGGATTTCACGGTTTTAGCACACTGAAGACATTGATTTTTACATTTTTGTCCTACAAGGGTACGTGAAATTATATTAAAAAAAATAGGAAGCAGTATCCATGGCATGGTAATACACGATTTATACTTAACAAAAAAAAAGACTTTTAGATAATTATAACATGCCCTTTTCCATATTGGCCCTGGTACCATCTCAAGACTCCCATATCAGTACAATGCTTTAGCCGAGGACCGATTTGGATCGAGGGTTGTATTTACATAACATATCTAAGTTCTACAGGAAAAAGAGAAAAGCGTTCAATTATAACTATTTTAAAAATTAACCACAGTAGGTAAAATCTAAAAAGATTCATCACATTTTCCATCAATTTTTAATATTTGCTGTATACAAATTTATTTGAAACATTTCCCTTTTACATAACTTGGGCTAAATCAATAATATTTGGTTTGACGTTGTTACTAGTGGCCATTGTAGCATAATTCTCCTAATTATTAATATAAACACCGTCATTGTTCGCCATTATCGTTAAGGACGCAATGACATCACGTCATTTCGGAATCGGGGCACAATAACCAATAACCACTTTTTTGGCAGCGGGCAAAAATATGAGTAGGACAGTTGTGCGGTAATTACATATGCAAAACCCAATTTTTTCGTAACAAATATGTGATAAATGGTAGTTTTGCAAATCAATCAGAGAATGACGTAAATGAAAATTGTACTAACATTGCTTATCTGATTCATAAGATAAGAGCTATTTTAACTATTATTTCTGCAAAATACAAGAAAAGCATACAAAGCTTTCTTGCCAATGCAGTCAATATATACATTATTCAAATTGATTCTTTTAATTTTTACTTTATTATTTCTATTCTACAAAAGCAAAGGAACACGAATTAGTTCGTGCAGATAGATTAAAAAGAGCCCTCGCAAAACTAAAAGGCATAGAGCAAAATCTTCCAACCAACGTGAGTGATTCTGATGCAGATGGGAATGAATCCGACAACCGATCTGATTCATCAATTAGTGGAGAACGACTGAGTAACCGCACAGTTGTCTCATCTGATCAAGAGACAGGAGAAATTGTTTCAGAAACACACCTTTCTACCAGTGAAGATGTAGGGCATAGCCCTATCTCTGTGTCCATAAAAAATGACAATGGACTTCGAAAGTCAGTGAGTTTTGCTGAGCAGCAGACCGGTACCAAGATACAAATCAGAAAGAAAATTGACATGGGCAAAGTGGTGACAGGCAAACAACGTCTATTAAACCAAATACACAAACAGATGATTTCAAATGATGATAAAGTGGAGTATGTTGACTGTGATTTATGGGATTTTGCTGGAGAAAGGGAATACTACGCAACGCATCAAGCTTTTATATCAAGCAGTTGTATTTTCCTCCTTGTTTCAGATATTTCAAAAGATGTTATGGCCTTTAAAAATGACTCATGTTCAAAAAGCGGTTTTGACAGCATTGGAGGTAACAACAATGTTAAAGTTCAATTGGTCTTTTAGTTTGGATTGGGAAATACTTTTGTAAAGGTGAAAAATCAAAGATTTTAATTCTATTGCAAAAGTAAAAATAATTATTATGTGACCTTGCGAATTAAACTTATCCCCGGGTTTGTACTTGCATATTAGCAACAACAATACGAGTGCCACATGTAGAGCAAGATATGTTAACCCTTCTGGAGGACATGAGATCACCCCTAGATTGTGCTGGGGTTCGTGTTGACTTCTATGATGTGGATTGTAAACTTTTGTTATTTAAAAGTGTCATTTGCGTTCTTATCAAGTTTTTAACTCATGAGTTTGATTATTTTATTGATATCTTTCGCCGCTCTTTTACTCATTGTCGGCTCACAATTTTGTATTTGTAATGTTATTCAATATGAACATATTTGTTAATATAAAAGATCATCGGTACATGTTATTTTCAAACGATGCTCATTTTATGGTGTTTGATGCAAACACAATTTGTCATAAAAACCTGAATGCAGCAATGAAGTTTGATAAATGTTACTGCCAAGATACAAACGTTTGGCTCCATCGCAATTTTAACAACGTCTTACCTATTTATTTTTAATGCAGAATACATCGACTTTTGGATAAACAACGTTCACTGCTTTGCAAAACCTACTGTTGGAGATACAACAAAGTTACAACCACCAATTATAATCGTTGGTACAGGCACAGACAAAATTGAGGTGATGTTTAAACACGTACAAGCATTTAATGGCATAGGTTTCTCATGTTTGATGGATTACTTTGATTCGAAATTTAAGTTAATTGTCAGTGTGATAAAAACTATATAAACTTTGTATACAAAATTCGATGATCAGCTTAGTTTTTGTCGAGCCTTCGACTTTTGTCGAAAAAGCGAGACATAGCGATCCTACATTCCGTCGTCTTCGGCGGCGGCGGCGGCGGCGTCCACAAATATTCACTCTGTGGTTTAAGTTTTTGAAATTTTAATAACTTTCTTAAACTATCCTTGAGTTCTACCAAACTTGGACTGAAGCTAATTTATGATCTTAAGATAGTATCCAGAAGTAAATTTTGTAAAATGAAATTCATTTTTTCCTTATTTTACTTATAAATGGACTTCTGCATAATTTTGAAGATAAGTAGAGACTATCATAATACCGCGGGAATTATACAGTACTTATACGCGTTAGTGCTGTCTTTATGCAACGTCATATCCGAATACATTTGGCGGGAAGAGGCTAGCGAGGGTTAAAAAGGAATTTCCAAAATGGAAAATACCAAGGCATAGAGGGGAATTTGAGGCAAATTCACCGGCAGAGGTGAAAAACATGCAAATTCGTTTGAAATGAGAAAAAAGGTTAGAATATGCGAAAAATACACTGGCTACCAACCAAATCAAAATCAAACATTCTTATATAAGGTGTAATTAACGGTAAATTTACAATATTCGATGATCAGCTTAGTTTTTGTCGAGCCTTCGACTTTTGTCGAAAAAGCGAGTCTGCCAAAATAAAAAAATTACGGTGAAATTGCACTCTGCGAAATAAAAAAAAATCATTCAAATTAAAAATGTATTTACATTTCAGAATATCTAACATAAGTTCAGAAGTATTGCAGAAATACAATGATCACAATAAATCTATTTAAACAAAAGAGAGGGAGGATATGATAAAGCCACAGTTATCAAAATAAATGTGTACATCAAATCCACCATGCCTCAACATTTACTTGTCTATAAGACAATAATTATGGATTATCGTTTGTAATCTCAACGAGATTGAATTTCTCGCTTGAGCCGGTACAGCGAAAGTGAGAAAAACAATTGAGTTGAGATGACCAATGATAATCTGTTTTTTCGCTATTTTACCTATGACGACGTTGTTTATTTCGTTTACAACGGCATGTGCGCCCTGAGTTTCTAACGATAACTTTTCATATCCCTCCACGGTGCTGAGAAAGGAAATTCACATTCAGCAAGATCAAAGGAAAACTTGTTAAATAGCGATAATCTACATCAACATCAACATTTTTTCTTTTTTGTTTATTACATATTTACATCTGCACTTTAATGTTTTGAATTCAGCGTAAAACTACAGCTACTCCATAGACTCATATTGAGGTATAGTGTTTACACACATTTGCAGCCTAGGTAAATGTAAAAGTTTGTTTACGGTAATGGAAAAATTAAAACAACGCTATTTTTACTTCCATTTTTTTTCCAATACAAATACAGTATATGAAATGTCTTAAAAGTGAGAGACTTTTTGTCTTTAAGCGAAATGCATTTTATTTGTAAACGTTTTCATCTGAAAATACTCCGTTTTAAAAAGCTGACTTTATACAACAATTTTGAGAATGCATCATCGACACATGTATTTCCATTTGCATACAAACGCTTGTTCCTTTGGTCTTTGGCAAAGAGTTGTCTCATTGACAATCATATCACATCTTCTAACTTTATAAACTAATATAAAGATTAAGAATAAACGCTTCATCAATATCAATAAGGCTTACATGTACATGATCAACGTTAGTATACCATTTTTGTTAACACTTTGGTTAATAAACAACCACATATTCATTTTCTTTTTGTTCAAACATTTTGACAACAATCATATTTTTAAAGAACTGAGCAATTTGTATTCATTGTGGAACACAATAGTTATAATTTTAAAGATAAATTCAAAATAACCAAGTAAATTGTAGATTACAACAAAACAGATATAATATTATTCATCAAAAGTGAAAAGCTGACTTTTTACAGAAAACAATGGAAGGACTTGTAGAAAATGTATATAATTTCTTAATTCCTTTGACAGTATTTGTCCGCTATGCAACTAAATATATGTAAACACTAGTGATGTCAACGGTTAACCGGTTAACCGTCGGAAGGACCGAATATCGAATACCAAAAACGCTAACCGGTTAACCGGACTTTTTTTAAAAAGTTAAATAGATTTGATATAAAAGTGTATTAAAATCAATAAATACTTTTGTTCTATATAAACCATATCGTCGTGGTAATTAATTTGACCGATCAATTTCCAGTCTATTGATTGCTATTGTTAATCCAAACATACAACTAATTAGAACTTAGACAACATGTCTATAGCTCGGGGCAAGATCTTAAGTAAACATAATTAATATACATTTTTTTTTAACATTAACTTAAAATCAGTGATCCGAATAAAGTTTACAATTTACTTCATTATTTTTATTTTTGATCTAATATTGCGTAGACCTAAAATTAAAATCAACGTAAATTTAATTAATCATGTATACTTGATGGTACGAATATCAGGCTTAATCCTGTCAAATTAAAACATTCCACATTATTTTCTGAGACATCAAGAGAAAATAAAAGAATCGTCGGTTTCCGACATATTCAATTCGACGATGATCAAGAAGGTTTTTTTATTTTTTAATCTGAAGTTATTACAAACGCCTTAGTAGATACGGTGTATTGGATTATTAAAAGTCAAACTTCGCAAGGAATCCTCACAAACAAGCCTCATGATGTCAAAGGACAAACTTCAATTTATCGTATTATAAAAATGTACATTTGTAGGGTACTATAGATAAGACCTTCGAACATCAACTTAAACTACAGTTAACCGGTTAATCAGTCGAATGATTAACCGAGTCACCGGTTAGGCAAAACTGTACGATTTGACAACACAAGTAAATACATAAACAAAACGGACCACATATCATTGCAATGGACGAATCATAAAAGAGGATCATAAGTTTTAAATCAATAATACCGATATGCTAAGGAAAACATCGATGTGAATATGAGGGTAATTTATGTATCAAAATCACGTGATGTGTTAAATATTTGGATTAGCCAAACATACAATGCACTGTACTTAAATATATAAGAGATTTTGTTGTGTTTGTGTTTGTGTTTTTAATTTCTTTTTACTTTTGTAGCAAGAATTGTTGGAAATAAAGAAAGAAGAGTTTAAAACAAAAATCAATAATCATTTAAAGAATCAGGAAAAAAGAAAACATATTATGGCATTTTACTTTCTGTCGAATTTAAATTCAAGCGATGATAAAGTTGATGAACTGAGGACCAAAATCTTCAGGGAAGCCAAAAAATGTACTACATGGGAAAATCCGATTCCATTAGAGTGGACTTTTTTAGAGAATGCAATAGAACACTTACGTCAGAACGAAAGTATCTTAGATTTTGCGGATATCATCTATTTGGCATCGATAGTTTCAATTAATGAGAAAGAAACTGTGGTTAGTTTTCTAAAGTATCAACATGAAATAGGAGCACTTATTTTCTTTGAAAATATTTCCGACTACATCATCATTCAACCTAAATGGCTTGCTGATGCCTGTAGATGTTTTGTTACTGATAAAGTTGATGATGACATAGAGACCTCTGACGATTGGAGAGAATTAAAAGCAACGGGAAAAGTTAGCCCTGACCTGATGTCTAAACTTTTGAAAAAGGTTCCTGAACTAAAATCAAGGAAAAAGAGGCAATATCTACTACGCATTATGGTAAATTTTGATATAATAATTCAACCAAATATCACAACTGAAAATATAGATCATCGAAGTACAATACCATATTATATACCTTGTATGATTACGAAAAAGACATCAATCCAAGATGTTCGGATCGAATATGGTTTACAGGCGTTATCTCCATGGGTTTTATTTGAATTCGAATTTCTCCCACTCGCTTGCTTTAATCACATTTTCTTCGACTTTGTTAGAAAATACACGGTGTGCACAAATAAACAATCTAATAATGTTGCTTTCTATCGTGGAATGGGAGTATTCTGTCTGGACGAATCCAGGAAGAATGGAAATTTAATGCTCTGTTTCTCAGCAAATACAATAGCAGTTCAGCTATGCAATGTGAGCCATGACATTGGAAATATCTGTTTTCAAATTCTGAACGACCTTGAAAAAAAAGTATCAATTTTAAAACATCAAGGTAAATTACTTAATCTGAAATATACAATTAAGTTTAAGTGTAAAAATGGAGATCCCCATGATAAGAATGGCAGAGTTACAAAGGAAGATGTAGAAAGTTCTGGCGACAACAAATACCCTTGTTTAGAACATGACAAAGATCATTCTACAGAGGGACTGAAGATGACATGGTTTAAAGATAAGCTTACAGTAAGTTTGAATATCAAGAAAAGACAGGAATATGACAGTTGTTTATCCATTCGTTACATGTGTTAGAGCTTTTAATTTTGCCATTTGATTAAGTACTTCCCATTTTATAATTTTTCTTGAAAAGTTCGGTATTTTGGCTATTTTACTTTTTTCAGACAATTCATCATTACAAGAAACATTATGGAAATGTTAAAGTCCTAGTACAGTTTAAAATAATAAACAAATGTCTATCGTCAACACACTAGCGATTAATTGTCCCTAGTCTGCATAAACTGTGCAAAAATAACAAGAATTACAAACACAAAATCAATTGACATTTTTATTACATGTTGCATCAATGTGACTTTGATTTATGCAAACACAATATAAAATACAAGATAAGCGAATCTAGTTGATATAGTTTTTGACATCTTGTTTGAAAATGCATCTCCGAATTCACATTTGTTTTTTGTTTGAATTAATCTTGGAGTTAAGCATATTTATTTAACTTTTGCAGTGCCAAGACCAAAACATTAACCCGTCCACTTCGGCAGGTAATTGTATATTGTGGCAAGATTGAATATAAGTGTATTCGAATATATTACATTTACAACGCAAACTAACCAACTTATTGAATATCTTGAAGGCAAGTCGTCACCGACAAACTAAATCACAAAAAAAGACAAAAAAAAACTAATGTTAAATATACAAAAGTCTTTTAATGTTATCATTCTTCAATGATATACAATGTATAACATTATGAATCTATTTAGCATAACCTAATAATTGTATTAATTTAACTTGCTACCGATGAATTTCATTGATACCATTTAAGGATGTGAATTCAATAATAATAGCTATCTGAAATTTTAAGCAGGTCTTGTATGAAGCAAACTACATTTTTATATATAACAATAAAAGTCAACTGACCGAAATCTCTGTATTACTGAAAAATTATTACACTGGGGTTTCTCGGTATCACAACTGATTTGTCAAAACTTACTAAAAATCATCATCGGTACAAGGATATCATTCGTAAATGTAAATCAATATACAGACATCTTATACGTTCAGGTTTTCACATCCCTTCTTTTATGGTATTATTCATTTTTTTGTTTAGAGGCCATCTGAGGCTCGACTTCGGGTGTGGGATTTTCTCGCTGCTTTGAAGACAAATTGAGAGCATTGGACTGTTTTCTACTCTTTGGCACGGCAGTTGTCTCTTTGAAAAGTTCCCCGTTTCGTTTCTCAATTATATTTTAAAAATTAACCGAGAAATTTTGTTTTTGTTTTCTTTCAGTAGATGAAGTCATTCAGTACGAAGAAAAATCTAGTTTCAAGCTGAAACAGGAAAGAATATATGACATCCAAACTAATAGCAATGGGCTTCTTATAATCGCCGACGGAAAACAGAATCAGATTTTGACTTGTACGTTATCTGGTGGAAATCAGAAGAAAATAAAATTACCTGGAGAACCAGATAGCTTTGCAATAATTGACAACGAAAATATTGCTGTGACTTTACCATATGAAGAAGACATTGTGTTCATAGATATTAGTAAGGGAGTCATAGTTAAAACAATACACATGGGACTATGTTGCACTGCTATTGCATACTTCAACAGCAAGTTTATTGTTTGCGTCGACAACACAATAAAGATATTAGACGTTGATTGTAAAGTTCAATCAACCAAACCATTGGGAGGATTCACGACAGACGGATTCAGTGTAGGAAAAAACGAAAACATCTATTGTACAGACTATAATAAGTTGATATGCATGGACATTCATGCAAATATTCTTTTCATATTTACTGGTGTAAACACTAGGCGACCTAGAGGGGTGACAACAGATGATGAAGGATATATTCTGGTAGCGTACGACCATTCTCACAATGTACACAGAGTCAGTCCAGATGGTTCAAGGAGTCAGGAAATTATACGGAAGCTACCAAAAATTGATTGGTCTCCTTTCATATGTTTCGACAGTGTGACGAAGTCAATAATAATTGGTCGTAAAGACAAGGTCATTGTTTTTACTAGATCGACTCGACTTTTTTCTATTTATCAATAAATTATGTTAAATGTAAATTAAACCTATTTCAGATCCCATTGTTCTCTGCACTATTTTTAATCACACTTTATGCATCTGTACAGTCAAGCATTCGCAACTAATGAAATATCTGCCTCCAAATGGTCAAAACATGAGGATTTCAGAAAAAGTCTTCATAATAGTATGTTTATCAGATATCGTCGATATTGACAAATTAAACAATTTAACTGTGTTTTTCGGCCATGTATTATTATTTCTATTAATACTAGCTAGTTCAGCGGCTGTATACGGAGTATATATCTCATAGTTGATACAATATTTTAGGGGATGTATTTCCGATCATGAACTCCTTGATAGAGTGTTGCTGCTCACAAGGAAGCTTATTAAACCAAGAGTTCAAAGTGGTGAAGTTAAAATATTCTCCTTGTTAATTTTACGGACGCCATCACGAGTTGATTAACCGTTATGGAATATCCGTTTCACAGATGATAGGGGATATGTTCCAAATGTCTTAACTTCAATTCAGTCCCCTTTTCCCCGAACGTGACCTACCAAACTAGACTTATTACCGGGTTTTTACTATCATGAGCAACATGACGGATGCAACATGTGGAATAGGATCTGCTTATCCTTCTGGAGCACCTGCGATCATCCCTAGTTTTGTTTTAAAGGGGTTCGTGTTGCTCTTGCTATAATTATAAGTATTGTTCTTTGTGCTTTTTTAATTTTTCAATGTTTGCGTTGTTTATACCAGTAACAGGTAACAGTCTTGTCTATTCTTTGTCATTAAAATCGTGTTTCAATTCTTTGAATTTCACATTCGGTCAAGTTTCAGTGTTAAAATATTTTAAATGACCGATGGTCTAAAATTGGTGATGTCTAAGGGTTAGATAAGAGACAATTACCAATCCGCTATTACGTGATGTATAATCATTTGATTCAAATTATCAACGTATTTTATAAGAGTAACACAACAGGTGTCACATGTGGAACAGGATCTGCTAATCCTTCAGGAGCAACTGAGATCACCCCCGTTTTTGGTGGGGTTTGTTTTGCTCAGTCTTTAGTTTTCTATGTTGTGTTTTGTGTACTATTGTTTGTCTGTTTGTCTGTTGGTTTTTTCTTTTTTAATTATGCTGTAGTCAGTTTATTTTCGACTTATGAGTTAAAATGTTCCTTTGGTATCTTTGGTCTTTTTTTTTTCAACAATGGGAAAAACGCCAGGTATAAAAGTTGTTGTCAACGGCTGATGTTGTGTTTGCTGAGACAGATATACATTTGTAGTACACGGTGCTTATTGATATTGACCTGATATAGTCGATGTCATCAATATGGAAACCACATCGTGTTTGGGACATACCTCTAAATAGGTCTTTGTTTTACTATTGTAATGACAATTAATAATAATGGACGAAAGTGCTGACATGAATAGTTTTCAAGATATTTATAACAATAAATAGGATGGTGGGTGCCCTTTGGGACAAAGTCTACTGTGAACACAAAAGGTCTTATCAAGTCAATTTATATGGTTAAGGGGTTATATTGAATAGTCTTCAAGATATTTAACAATTATTGATATGAAAAAGGTCTTGCATGTTCCCTAGGGACAGACCTGTGGTTGGATATTTTTGTCTGATCAAGGCAACTTTTTCTCAGTATTATATACTAAATTGGTGAATATATTTCACAATTCTAAAATAGAGGGTGAGACAAAATCTGCACTGAAAAGGTTTTATTACAGCTGTTCAGAATATGTATTTGCTTTTGGTGGGGCTGGGACATTTTTCAATATATCTAAAAATGTCCAATATAAGATGGTGGGGTGTGACCAAAGAAGAGACATAATTCCAGTACCAAAATAAATGGACCATTATTGCATGCAATGCAGGGGTGTGGAAATATTTGTTGTGACCACTTGTCCCCGGGCAAGTGAAATTGTAAATTTTACTTGTCCGGAAGAAAAGTTACTTGCCCTGATTTCTTACAGAATCTTGGAATGAAGATATGCTTTAATGTAAATGTATATGTTTCTAAAACAGTTTTGAAACATAATGAAAATGGTATTCATGGTCTTTGTTTGAATGCTAGAATAATAAAAAGATGATTAAAGTATACACCATTGAGATAGAAACCAACCAAAAAACAACTTTAAAATAAAGAATCTAAAGGCCAATTTAGCAATGTTTTTTGGTGCTAGATTTACATGAACCTGGGAGATTATATCATATGTCATATATTTTTCGTCACTGTGAGCCTGTGCGAAGTTTTTAAAGTTAATGAAGAGATGAAAACCCAGTAATTAATAATGAATATTGAAATGGTGTTTGCACCCTCCTCCCTAAAAAAAAAAACATTTGGTAGGCCTATTGTAAATTTAAAATTTTTTAGGTAACTAAGCGAATTTAAAACATTTTAGAACTTTAAAATCCTCTATTAGGTTTATTTTCATACTATTTGTACTTTGCTGCTTCTGATATCGGTTTCTTGTCCAAACAAATTTATTTTTAAGAGGCACCCTTTCTCCATTGGTCAACTTCAGAGCTATGACCTACCTGAAGATGCTTATCAAACTCGACCAGTCATTTAGTTTTCATTCTTGAGAAATTAGAGCTCGAAATTAATGATGCCCGTGTCCCTTGTATTGTTGCTATAACCTGATCGACGATTTCCAGATCAATAGAACAAAAATTGCAGAATATTAATGAAACTCGGGTCCGCATACTTAATTTTGTTGTTTGATAATGGATTTATTTCTTGATCACTGACATTGTTTGATATTTTTACTACTTTGATGAATCAATTTTGAGGACTTTGCGATATGATTATATAAATGAACATTGTAAAGAAAGTTTTTTTTTACCTGTCCACAGGCAACAAAGCCACAAAAAATTGTTTGTCTGGTCGGTCAAATGTACGAGTTGGGCAAGTTTGGCATAGCATTTCCACACCCCTGCAATGCTACCAGTAATTTTCTTGAAACACCTTCTTAAATTTAAACTATTTAGCAACCAGTAAAACATGCATCAATTCAAGTAACCTGTGTAGTTAACTTTAATATAAAGCCTACTCAAGGTTTCTTTATATTACTCAATTCATCTTTCCCAAAAACAAATAGTAGTAATATTGCATGCATAAGTTATCTATATTAAAACATTTATTGGCAAAATGTTCATATCAGTGTTCATGTTATTTTTTTGTAAAAATTGTGTACAATACACGTATATACAGTATAGTCATTAAAATCTCAATTTAAAAAAAAAACATGAGATGGTAATAATACAATAGAGTATATTTCCCATTTACAAAATCGTACAGCTTATCAATTCCTTTCAACAATGTAGCACAGTTCTATTCCTCAATGGCAGTATGTTTCTCTTTTTCTTTAGATATCTTTTGACCTGGAAAATATCAAAGAAATACAAATTATCATAGTTTAAATTCAACAATAAACGGGAGACTAAAACCAATATTCTAAATATGACTTTCTTCAAATGCCTTAAGTACACACCAATGGCAAAATATGAATATAATTATATGTCAGCTGATAAGCAACATCATGATTTGTTTGACCTGTTCCAATCCTTACTCCAACGGCGTATTCTTTTTATGAAAGAGTTAACCAAGGTCAGATGGTGTCAACAACATCACTGAAAAATGACGTAATAATATAAGCTTTCTACAGGAAAATGCATGAATTTGGAATTGAAAGTCATCAAATCATGAAAAAATTTAAAAACAAATGATGATAACAATTCTTTGAAAGACCATTTTCTTAATAAAAAATCTGATAATCATTTAGATCAAGCTTGCAATTGGTTGAAATTGTTTCAGAAAATATCATCTTGCAAACATTGCATGTCCAGTGATGGACAAAACATGGCCATGATATCTTACATAAGAAATTAAATTATCTCCCTTTACTTCATTTTAATGTTGATTTGGTGTAAAACATTTTGTTAAACTTTCCTGTATATTCAGGTATTTGTAATGTTATTTTTACTCATGCTAGTATTGTTGATGAGAATTTTTTACATAAGTCTGATAATGAAAAATTGATATTTCTTTTTACAGATAAATAGTAGTTTATGCTGCCAAAAAAAACCAAACTTATATTTGTATTATATTCTAAGAAAAAATGTTTTATAGTCTCTCATAACTCTTAAAGAGTATCTCTTGATGTTAACTTTTGTTTTAATATGCTGTATAATTTAAATGTAACAATTGTTGAGACTTTAATAAAGTATTTGTCTGTCTTGTCTTGTAATCTATTTGCATGCCAAATGTTTAGAAGTTGTACTAATAAGGTTTGCACCATAAGATAAATGATTTGTATGCCTTATATTATGCAAATTATTCTCCCTTAAGATTTCAGAACCCAATATTAAAGTCTTAAAAGCACATCTTCATACATGTATGGTAAAACCCTTGTCGTATGCCAATAAAATCAATCACATCTTTTTGGAGCAGATGTATTTAAAATATGATTTTGGTGAATTAAAGAAGTCCTGCTTATCTCCTTTTAGAGCCAGACTTTGATTATTTTTCTTCTGGAACATTATCATAAATTGTACTTCAACTGTGCCACCATCAAACAGAAAGGATAGAAGGAATGTTTGCCTAACTAATATATGGATGGAAAGACAAGACACATATTAATATTAACCCCCATATCATATAAATATTGTGTACAAGATGCAAGTTATAATTTGTACAGGGTTTTTGTACAAGTTATAAGTTTTTGAACACATACCTTTTTGGCACGTTTTTGCAACAGATGATAAAAGTTTATCTTCTAAAATTTATCAGCTTAATGTCATAAATTCAGATTTATATACTTCAACCTAACATTTAGTGCTATTCTCCTTGTCCTAAAACTGGAAATATGGACACATGAATGGTTTAAATTCTATGTTTATTTTTCTCCTGATACCAAAATCATATATCAAAAAGTCTTTTCGTGTTATAATGTTTATAATGTTTTCGTATAAAAGCTCAGTATAAGGCTGTTTCATGTACCGGTAGTCATGGAAATATGACAGAAATATGCTAATCAAAGGACTGTGTGCTTGTATCATTCTTTTGTGTTAAGCGGTTCATAAAACATTGATATCTTGTACAAAAATTCTGTACAAATTATAATTTGTACAACATTACAATTTGTACACAACATATATACATATATATATTTATAAATATATATATCTTAGGAAAAATTTGTTTTGACTGGATTTA